AGTCTTTTAGAAGAGTGATTTTCGAAAACTTGCAGTTGCCCATCAAAATGTATTTTATTTTATTTTTTAAAGATTTTATTTATTGGCGAGAGAGAGAGCACAGAGGAAGAGGGAGAAGCAGGCTCTCCTCTGAGCAGGGAGCCTGATGTGGGGACTCTATTCCACGGCCCGGGATCCCGACCTGAGCCGAAGGCAGACGCTTAAACGCTTAACCACTTAACCCACGGAGCCACCCAGGCGCCCCTCCCATCAAAATCTAAATACTGAGAATACTTTGGGAAATTTCTCCTCAGGTGTTTTAAAACAAATGCACTGCAGTGCATTCCGTGCTTTAATGAATTAATATGCAAAGTCTTTCTTGTCCCCAAATGTTGAACAGCGGTCTGTCCCCCCACCCCCCCACCCCCAGGAGCCATTTTACAAACCTGGTACCACATGCCTGAGATTGTGATAATCAGTCAACATACACATTCTCCGGGTGCAGGCGAACTATTCAGCTGTACCAGTTGTTCCAGTGGACCTTGAACATGTGTTAACTGGTAGAGTAACTCCCCGTTTTGTCCACTAATTAAGTGACAGATTAGGGAAATACATTTAAAAGGTGACCTGTTTACAACATACCCAACCTCTGGTTTTACTTTGCACCAAATCCAGACATGATTCTTGCTTATATAAATCTGGAGACCATAACCGTGACTAAATTAGATTATTGACACCTTTTAGATGATTTTTAAAACCAGGGGCTATCATTTTGTATTGCATTAAGCTTATGGGTCTGTGAAAGCAGACGAGAGAGAAGTCCTCACAAGAAGAAAAATGCACGTTGCCCTGAAATGGGTTTTGTTATGGACTCATTAGAGGTTCAGATCATTGGACCCGGATCCATTTTTAGTGGCCGTCCCTAGACCGAGAGGACATTTCAAGGACAAGAATTTATACTTTTGTTATTGAACACTTCCAGTCTGCAAAATTATGTAGATTCGGTTCCTTTACCCTTGGCCTTGCAAGTGGAGGCCCAGGCTGGGGGTGTGGATGGGGAGGGAAGTAAGACCATTTGGCCTGTTATTATGGCCATTAAGTTCCCTTCGCCTGCCACTGCCCAGTGGTGGCTCACACCTACCCAGCAGTCTTTTTGGGGGGGGGGGGTTAGGGATAGAAAATGCCATGGTGGGGTGGGCGAGTAATCAAACCGGGTTGGGTTCTTAAAACAACCGAAAAATGGCAGTCAGAAGATTTGGTCAAGCGTGAAACGTGAGCGCTGTGTACTTCTGATGACCACCCAACGGCCGCCAACGACTGTACCACAACTAGGGAAACTAAGAACCTGTGTTCTGGGGCTGCCTTGTTTGCCCGTGAGAAAGATGGAAGGTGCTCACCTAATACGCGCAACCTCAAGAAAAGCTTCGCGTCTGGCCGAAGTAGGACTGGGATTAGAACCCGGCCTGGTGGAAGTTCAGCGGCACATACTGGTTGTTGAATAATCTGTCCCACCCTCCTGTTGCCACATGGAATCGAAACCTGCATATCCGTGACCCAAAAGAGATTAATGGGTTTTTCTCTAAATGTACAAGCGAAATTGCAAGTAGCATTGAATCATTTCGTACATGTTCTGTTTTTAAGGGAAAAAAACCACTTTCTGATTTTCTGTGAAATTCTCTGAAAGACTCCTTTTCAGCCATGACTCACGAACTCCGTCTCGTCGCAGCAAGTTAGGTATTTATCCCCAAATGTCTGACGACACCCCCAGGTGCCTCGGTACGTCTGCCGTACAAGTGTCCTATTCATCGGCGACGGCCTCGCTCCGCGTGTTGAATGTTCTCAGGAAAGCAATATACCCTTTCTTTGGAAGCCAGTATTTATACACGGGGTGACTAACGGACTGGTATGTTGGACTTAGCAATTAACAGACCAGAAATAACCCGATTTTCCCCCCCTCTGGGTGGCAGTTCATCGTTCACACGGTACGTTATGCCACGCAGGGAAAGCACGTCGAAGAATGTTGCTTTGCCCTAATATTCACAGTTTCCTTAAATCTTCCAATTTTGAGCCTCTCGGCCATGAGGGGGGAGATGGACATTAGCAAGAACTACGTGAGAAAATCCATATAAAAACACAAGCAAGGTTATTGAGTACAAATTGAATCTTCTCTAATGAGACGCTTCTCCGATGCGTACGTGATGACATCAAAGCCAAAACTTCTCTTTGAGACCCTGAGGTTTATGTGGGCACCTCTTAGCATGTTGGATGTAGTCCAGGACTTTTCTGAAAGAGGAAGCTTACTTACTAAGTGAGGAACGATGTGTCTTTTGAAGCAGGCACGGCAAGAAAGTCAGCCTGCCATCTTGGAATCAGTCTCTAAAATGCGATCAGCCAGTCACGTTTCCAGCCGCATTTGAACCTACTACGTCTCTAAAGGACTGAGGGTCGGACATCGTGGTCCCTTAGGGTGGCAGGAGCTGTGCCCCGGTTTTTAAAAACAAGTATTTGTTATAAAATGCTTTGAACGAAAGAGGTTTTAGGAGCTTAGTGGTGGTGACTTACCTCCCCCCCCCATCTGTCCATCCACAGCCCTAGTGTGTGACTAGGGGACTCGAGCCAGCCCCCCCCCCCCCCCCCCGGGCTCCTGGGGTATTTGCAAACTTCTTCGGTGCTAGAGAAACCTCATTCCTGCCTCCGGATGCGGGTCACACCTCGGAGGCTAAGATTAGCCCCCGAGCTGCCGGAGGGCAGGGGCGGGCAGAGGGCTGCAGGGAGGGAAGTCGCTTTGTAGCCTGTGCCCGTGTGATGACTGATGAGGCGCCCTTTCCCAGATAAGGACAGCAGGTCGGGGGAGGCAGATCTGGAAGTTTGGGGAGCTTAGAAGGCTTCAGATTTCACGTCCTTAGAACTGGGGAAGGGGATAAGGGGGAAAAAAAAAAGTATCCCCTAAGAGAGAAACGCCTTAAGTGTATGCTAATTCAGCAAGATCAAGGAGAGCCCCGAAGAAGAGGTAGAACGGTATCTTCATTTCTGTCCGTTCTGTGATTTCTGACAAAGGGGAAACAAAGGGAGGCACCAAGCGTCTCTCTCTGGTGAAGTCCGAGGTTCCCTGTGGCTCATTTTCCGGGAGCCCCCACACCAGAGCGCTGGCATTGGCTTTGAGGAACCTCTGTGCATTGTCACCGGCGGGCTGCTTTCTCAGAGTCGTTAGCCGATCCGAAGATGAGCGGGAACAGGATGCCTTGGCCCCCCCGTCCCCCCCCCCCCGTCCCCCTTCGTGCTTCACGCCGAGGAGCGCTCTCGTCAGCAGGAATGTTCCACGGCAGCTTCCTCCTGAGCACGCTGCCGTGAAGGCTCGAAACCGTTGGGGACCCAGGAATCCTAAGTTTAGAAAAACATGAGGCAAGCCAATTCAGGTTACCCTGGAGCTCGACTTCATTGGACTCGTTGCAAAAAAAAAAAAAGTACTAAAGTTCATGAATTTGACATCGGCATTGTTAACATGCTTTCAGTGTTTGCAGCCTGTTTACTTATTAGGCAATAAAAGCCAACGTTCCTAGAAGTGCCTGTTTTATCTTGACAAATACGTGTTTCCACACACACACACACACACACACACGGAAAAGGCTTGAGCCAACCGTGGAAACCAGCTCTGAAGAGGATGTGCCCTTTGAAGTCTGGCCATGTGGGTGCAGACTCTGGGTCTAAGTGTGCAGCGCAGGGGGATAGAAGATGACCCCGGGTTTCCATGCTACAGAAAGAAAAAGTAGTGATGCCTAAAAGCCAGGACTCGAAAGCTCTAAGACGTAGGACTCTCCACAGCGGCACCATTAATTCGGGGTGACTTGTTAAAGCCTCCTTTGGCTCCGTTCAGGACCCTGTTAGGACAGGGACCAAGAGCGGGGCGAGCAGCAGCGTTGACAGGCCTCCACTTGCAAGCCACTCGGGGGCTGGCGTGTTCAGCTGGGGAGCCGTGCGTCATTTCACCAGCTGGACGCGTACAAACTCCGAGCGCGCCGTGTTCTAGAACCGTGCAAGTAGCCAGGGAAGAACTTGGCCTTGGTACAGGGACGGTTTCAGAGTATGTGGTTCTGCAGTGAGAAGGGCTTGGCAGCTGAGATCTCTCTGGTACCGTGAACCCGCAGTGGTTTTCCTTCTCCCCGAAGCTGAAGCTCCGCATACCTGAGCGCACCGCCCTGCGCTTTCTTGCTGGCGGTGGTTCGACACGGAACCTGCACTCGGGCCATCAAGCCGGGAGAGACGGGAGCCCCGTCAGGCGGAGCTCTGCCTGGAGCTGCCGCGTAGAGACACTTGGAGGCCATTTCCTCTTCGGAAGACGGCAAAAGAGTGATAGGAAGAGGAGTAAGGCTCCAAGTTCGGTTCTAAATAGGGACTTCGGTGAGGGAGGAGGAGGGAGGTGCCAGTGCGGTCCAGGAAGATAGTGTCTGAAGGGCTGAGGCAGCCATGATTACTCGCCACGCAGGAAGCCAGTGCCGTCTAATCTCACAAATGCTGATTTCCTGCCAAATGGCCTTTAGGAGCCCCTGATAATTGAATTTCCTGGCATTTACTGTTACTGGAGATTTAGTTGGTTGCTCTACTCCGCTCTTAACAAGAAAGCAGATCTTTGTTGAGGGCACAATTTCCATACGGAAAAGCTAGTCGGACGAGGGTTTTATGTGCCATGTGAAAGACCAGCAAGAATGAGTGGAGGAGAGTGATTTTCAGCTGCTCTCCCTGGGACAGGCACTGTTTTCTGTCTGCACAGAGGCTAATGGCTCTTTAAAAGCTGCCTGCGGTAAACAGTGCGCCGTTCAGGGACACAGACCTTGGTCTCAACTGTGTTTCTACTGTTCCTCTCTAACCCGATTACGCAAGGGAACATCCCGGTTTTGTTTTGGGGGAGAAAGTGCCACTAAGGACCATTCTCTGGTCTCGATGACTTGGCACAACCGCCTCGGGCAACTGTCTTTGCCCAGGAATGCCACCCACTCGCTTTCAGTCGTTCACTCCCTGGGGCTGAGGCGGTCTGTGCAAGGGCCGGCCCGAGCGGGGGCTGCAGCTGGCCCAGAACATTCTGCCCGTCCATGGTGCGATCTGCTTTGTTTGGAGGCCAGCTTCTGAAATGCACCCAGTTCTGAGTGAGAGTTCACCAGCCTTGGCCGAGGCGGGCTCCGAGACGCAGGGTGTGGTTTCCTTAGCTCACTCTCTGCTATTTGGTTGTCTGTGGCAACGGGATCCAAACAACTCGGACATGTGTTTGTATAAAAAAAACCGGGAATGGGACCCAAAGTGGGAGTCTAGGACCGTTCAGCTAGTGGAAGAGCCGCGGTGAGTACTGGGCAGCTGCTCGTTCGTCTCCCCTCGTTCTGCCTCTGGATTCAGCTGGGATACTTGCTAGCACAATAACCGTGCTTGTGGGTGGTTGAAGAAAATTCTCTCCATTCTCGTGCTCCCTGTGCAAATTAAATAACTGCTATCTACTTACCCACGTAGGGTTCTTTTTCGGGGGGGAGCGGGGAAGGTTAGCGTATGTTTCAAGAAGTTGGGAGCTAATGCAAACTCACATTGGGTACCTTTTTGGTGGCAGGAGGAACAGAGTGCCTTAGCCGGGCTTGCGATTGCAGACGTGGGGTCTGGGGTCTGGGGCAGGGAGGGTGCAGGGGGCCGAGGGACAAGGGAAGTTGTTCCATATGAAGACAGTGGAAGGGGTTCTTGGAATGATCAGCTTAACGCTTTTTAAAAGCCTTTCTCTCCCCGCCCCATCGTACTTTCACGCTGCAATTTTTAAAACCGCAAATGTCCGAAGTTAGTAACACTTTGTTGACTCTCGAGCCTCACTTGCTCGAACAAAGGGGGGGGGGGGGCCTTGATTTTGGTGTGTCACAGAGCGGCACATCACGGCACATCACCGTGACAGGCGTTCACGGTACCGACGGAGAATGCCGTCGTGAGACGGTCTCTCTGGGGTGATGGCTCGCTCGGGCCTCGGGTCCGGGACCTGTGTTGGGCGGAACTCTTTAGGATCCGTTTGGGATTGAAAAGTGTTCTGCCGGATTTGCAGGATTAGATGCGGGCATTTTGAACGGATCCGTGAGGATTGCTCGCAGGGCCCCGCGTCCTCTCGGCCGTGCGGGGAGCTGACGCCTGCAGAGAGGAGGGAGCGGGGTCTGGGAGGAAGAGCCCGAGGCTGGCAGGGCCGCGGGGAGCCGAGCAGCGGCCCAGGCGCCGCCGCCGCCGCCGCCTCCCTGGGCTGCCCTCCTCCCTGCTGCCGAGCAGCTTGGCTCCGGGAGCTGCCACTGGCGCCGCGCCCGAGCCCTGCGTCCCTTGCCCTGAAAGCCCCCCTCTCTCTCGCCTGCACCCGTCGCCTCACTGCTCGAAGCCACCACACCTGTCCAGAGGCCCTGACCCGCTTGTCCCCCGCCCCCCAGCGGGACTTTCGCCCATGGCCCCGGGGACCCAGCGGCCGCGGACTCTGGTCCCCGGCAGGAGGGGAGCTGTTTCTTCCCAGGCTCCCAGTGAAGGTCGTGCGGGCGCGGCGCCCGTGGCCAGCCAGGCTCGGGCGGCAGCCGGGACCCGGCCTCCAGGCCCTGGTGGCACCGCGCGGCTGTCCCCCCCGCCCCCCGCGCCCCCCGGAGCCTCGGCGGCAGCGCGCTCCCCCCCCGCCCCGCCCCGCCCCACGGGGCTCATCTGCGCTGCCCGCTTGCCCCCGCAGGTCCCTCCAGCTACAAGGTGGGCACCATGACCGAGAAGTTCGACTGCCACTACTGCAGGGACTCCCTGCAGGGCAAGAAGTACGTGCAGAAGGATGGCCACCACTGCTGCCTGAAGTGCTTCGACAAGTTCTGCGCCAACACCTGTGTGGAGTGCCGGAAGCCCATCGGCGCGGACTCCAAGGTAAGGCGGCTGGCAGGGGGGTGGCGCAGAGGGGCTGGAGGCCCTGCCCCCCCCCCCCCCCCCGCCAGTCTGAGGGTCTCCAGAGGCCCTTGCTCGGGACCCCTCCTCGGCGTCGCTCACGTGACTCGCTCACAAGACCGCTCCCCGCCCGGCGTCCCAGGTGTGAGGGACCGTGGGCTCGCGGCCGTCCGCCCCCCCCGTCCCCCTCCCCCCCCCCCCCCCCCGGCCGCACCGTCTCTGCCAGCGGCCCGTCCCCTTCCGCTTGGTCTCCAGGAGGTGCACTACAAGAACCGCTACTGGCACGAGACCTGCTTCCGCTGCGCCAAGTGCCTTCACCCCTTGGCCAACGAGACCTTTGTGGCCAAGGACAACAAGATCCTGTGCAACAAGTGCGCCACCCGGGAGGACTCCCCCAAGTGCAAGGGGTGCTTCAAGCCGATCGTGGCAGGTAGTGTCCCCTCTCCCCCGCCCCCCCCCGGGCAGCCAGGGAGGAGGCCCCACGGGCGGAGGGGGTGCCGGGGGCTCGCGGCGGTGGCGCGATGCTGCCGCGAGCCGCGCTTAGGTTTAGCGTATATACGCACGCATGTATATAGCCGTGTATCTGCGTACGCATATACGCTCGCACACACGCACACACGCGGCAGCTAAAGGACACTGGAGAGCGCGGTCTGTGGCAAGAGAAAGAAGTGAAAAGTATGTAGCGCTTTCTCATTTGGGTAGAGTGAGTGAGCAAAGCATGCGACCTCCTCCGGGTGCAATTCTGGGCCAGGCCAGGTCCGCCAAGGCCGTGGGGGGCGGGGCGGGGCTTCAGGCACCGAATCCTGGCACGTGACCGCCGCCAGGGTCCCCTCCCCTGACAGAAGCTGGGTCGGCAGCACCCCAGTAGGACGGTGGACAGAGGCCCCCCGCGGGGAGGGTCTTTGGAAGCGTGAGGCCAACGACTGCAGGGCCTGCATTCCCTCCCCTCTGGAGGGCCCGGGCGGGGGGGAGTGGATGCAGCCCCCCCTGCAGGGCACCGTCAGTGGGGCTATCGGTCCTGCTTCCCCCCCGCCCACCGCAGGAGATCAAAACGTGGAGTACAAGAAGACCGTCTGGCACAAAGACTGCTTCACCTGCAGCAACTGCAAGCAAGTCATCGGGACTGGAAGCTTCTTCCCTAAAGGGGAGGACTTCTACTGCGTGACTTGCCACGAGACCAAATTCGCCAAGCACTGCGTCAAGTGCAACAAGGTACGTGGTCAGGGGAGTTCTGCGCCGACCGTTGTTTCTAGAAGCACTTGCACACACACCGTCCCGCTCCATCCTCCCGACAGCCCTGCGACGTAGGAATTCCTGGTCTCGGGTTGCAGATGAGGATTGCAGATGAGGAGACCGTGGCAGGGGAAAGCGGCGCCCGGCGCCCGGCGCCCGGGCCACATCGGCCACATTGGCTGGCCGGCCGGCCGAGGGCGCGCTCACTCCGGCCCCCCCCCCCCCCCCCGGGCTCTAGAGGCCCGCCTCCGCCGCCTAGTTGCCCTGCGGGACCTCACGCGGGGGCTCGCCTTCTCTGGGCCTCGGTGTCTTCATCTGTAACCCGGGGCCGCTAGTCGCCCCTGCCTCCCATGGCCGCTGTGGCGATGAGATGAGATAACGTATACCAAAGCGCCCAGCTCGGTGCCTGGCACGTAGTAGGCCTTCAGCGAAGTGGTTGTTGACTCTGAATCCGGTGCTCCGCTCCCTGGTCTAGGCCATCACATCCGGAGGAATCACTTACCAGGACCAGCCCTGGCACGCCGAGTGCTTTGTGTGTGTCACGTGCTCTAAGAAGCTGGCCGGGCAGCGCTTCACCGCCGTCGAGGACCAGTACTACTGCGTGGATTGCTACAAGAACTTTGTGGCCAAGAAGTGTGCCGGCTGCAAGAACCCCATCACCGGTAGGCTGAAGAGTCCTTGCTAAGTCCGCCGGGCTAGGTCTCGCGCATGGTAACCATCTCGCATTCTCCTACGTCGTCGGTTTCATCCACAAAGGCCCCAGAGAATGTCCTCTCCCCCTGCCATGGTGGTCCCGAAGGCCCCCCGGGGCCCCCGATAGTTTGGATTCTCCCTCAGGCCAGCTTAGCCTCTGCCATACAGCACACCTCCTGACTGCTGCTGACTAACTAACGACGCTGCCGGAGTTCACGAGCCTGAGACCCACGGCCACGGCCACGGGCGGGCAGGCAGGCAGGCACCGCACGCGCGCGCGCACGCGCGGGGAGGGGAGCGGTGGGAAGGGGCGGGGTCCGGCGGGGCAGGGAGAGGACGGGGGGGGGGGGGCGGCGTTGGGGGGGGTTGGGGGGGAGCGGCAGGCTAGCTGAGCGGTAGCTGCGATCAGAAGCAGAGCTGATCACTTCATTTCTCATCTCGCGGCCGCGATCCACGTGCCCCGGGCCCTTTCCCCGCCTCCAATTTTCCCATCTCCCCGGGGAGCCTTGAAATGTACATTTGAGAAGACTTTTGCCATCCTCAGGGAAAAGGACTGTGTCAAGAGTGAGCCACCCAGTCTCTAAAGCTAGGAAGCCCCCAGTGTGCCACGGGAAACGCTTGCCTCTCACCCTGTTTCCCAGCGCCAACCTCCGGGGCAGGCATCCGGGTGGAGAGAGGACTTGTCCCTCGTGGGTGGTGGTTCTTTATAGAAAAAATCGAAGCTTAGCAGCTCCTCGAGGCCCGGTAAGTGCACACCCCACGAACAGCCCAAGTTTGCCTCCTGGTGGCCACTTTGATGCCATGGCCCTGACCTAAATCAAAGAAACTGGTTATGCTGGGAGGTCGGTGCGCGTCACAGGGGCGATAGCCGTGGCAGGGGCGTGCGGGGCGTGCGGGCTCGGGGCCTGGAGAGCCGGAGCAGGGTGGCGGCGGCGGGGGCGGGGGGGGGCGGGGCGGGGGGGGGTGGCGGCCGGTGCGTGGAGGTTGGGGGGGCGGCGCCGGGCCGACGCGGGCCCCCCCGCCCCGCGCGCCTGTCGGCTCCGTGAGCGGCCGGGCGGCGGCCTGCCTCCCGCCGGGCCCGCTCAGCCGGCTCGTCCGTGTGCTCTCGCTGTCTCCGCAGGGTTTGGTAAAGGCTCCAGTGTGGTGGCCTATGAAGGACAATCCTGGCACGACTACTGCTTCCACTGCAAAAAGTGCTCCGTGAATCTGGCCAACAAGCGCTTTGTCTTCCACGAGGAGCAGGTGTACTGCCCCGACTGTGCCAAAAAGCTGTAAAGCGACAGGGGCTCCTGTCCTGTACAATGGAATCGAGTCTTGTTCTCCGCGCCCTCCGCCCCCCTCGGGCCAGAGCGGCCTCCCCCCCCCACCCCCCCCGCAGCGCTCCTGCTGCCGCTGCCCCCATCTCACGGTGTCCCTCCCCGGAGGGCGCCCGTCACCGCGCTAGTGACCGCACTAGGCCGCAGCCGCCGGCTTCGGTCCCCCCGCGAGGACACCCGCACGTAGCTAGAGCCGCTCTTCCGCATGCTTGTCCCGGCCGCCGTCCAGCTGCTTAGGGACGCGAGCGAGACGCCCCGGCGCGGGGCCCCCGCTGAGCTGCGTCTCGCCGCTCAGCCGGGTCCCGCCGCGTGTCCCCCCCCCCCCGTCCCCCCCGGGGACCATCGCGTCCCCGGGACCCGCGAGAGTTGCAGCGGCTGCCCATGACTTCCGTGAGCAGACAGCGAGCTTAGCGAAATGCATGGTTGAACTTCCTCATCAGGATCTCCCTTCCGTTCTTTTGTGCTTTCAAACGACTAACACGAATTTCCAGAAAGTTAACATTTGAACTTTAGCTGTAAGTCCCTCTAAACTGACCTCCCCGCCCCCCCGCCCCAGTACTAACCTCCATTTCCCCGTGTGGCGTGTTTTCTGAACGTTCCTACTTCCGAGCGTGGAACGTGCAGGCAGACCCGAGAGAACGAACCTGTTTCACAGGAACGTTGTCACAGCGAATCCTTCTGGAAGCTTAACAAGACTAACCCAGCTGCCCTTTCTCTGTTTTGTTTTGTTGTTGTTGTTGTTTTAACGATTTTGTTTTAACGAATAGTAACAGTTTATGGGTTTGGAGACTTGCATGTCGATATTTTCACGCCCTCAAAGGTTCCTGCAGTTTTGAAATTCATCCCACAAACACTCGAGAGGGGTAGCTGAGCAGGCGCCAGGGCGGCCACGGCCACGGCCACACTAGGACGTCTCCGAACGGGGCCGAGCTGAATCCCTTGTCATGCGGGAGCTGTCTGCTCCTGGTCCCTGTCGGTGAACAGGCCCGCCCAGTCCCGCCTCTTGTGGCTCTTCGGACTGTCCCTCAGAGCTTAGCTGGACCTCTGGGGGAGCGGCGGCCACCCTCCCGGGCGGAACCGGAGCCCCACGTAGTGCTTCCCTGAGCTGCAGGCTGCCCTCCCTCCTGTACTCTCATCGACGTTGTTCTAGGCCGTAGCGTAACGGGACAGCATCACGAGTAAAACCGTACTGCCAGTGCATAGGACGTTCTCGTAGGAGTGGTCTCATTGCTACCTTGTGTCATTCGCTATTATCCTCTACCGTTTCAGTGTATCCTTACAGAAATAAAGCAGCGTATAAATAACTCGCCTGGGCCTTTCACTTCTGCCGCCGGGGTTGCCCTCAGGGGACGCGACTCATCCCAGAACCCCAGTGACGGTTTTCCTCCCTCCAAGCACGGGCTCCGTTCAGTGCGGTTGCACAGAACAGAGGAATTCTAAGCAAGATAAAACCTGTAAGAGCACTTGGATCCAGTTAAAAACAAAACCCCACTCTGACCCAAAAGAAGCATTTGGCAGATGCTCACATCCCTTCAAAAGGGCATCGGTTTTCTTTGGCCAGGGGAAGGGAATGGCCGCTGGAGGGGGTCAGAGGATCACGGGCCCCATTTGGTCGGCTGCCCCTTCCCTGTGCCCTCCGGAGTGCGGATCCGCTGCTGTCAACCGCTGCGCCAACCGCCCCCCCTCCCCCACCGCCGGCCCGGGTCGCCGGGAGAAACTCGCTCCCCCTGGTGGCCGGCCCGAGGAGAGGGCGACGGTCTGAGGAGCATTGGGGCCACAGGCAGGGACCCTTTGGTGCTAACGTGGACCTGACCGTGTTAGCAGGCAATCAAAACCTGTCAGCAAGAAACCATGGGCATTTCTGTGAACAGGTGACATCCCCTTGTGTCTGTCTCCCTAGAGAAAGGAGCAGTTAAAACCACGAAAAGTGGTCATCTGGGGCCCCAAGGGAGCAGGGGCGGGGTGGGGAGTTGGGGTGGCACCCCTCTGCTTCCCAAGGGAGCTGGCTGGGTTACGGAGATGGCGGCAAGGGACAGAGCCCAGAGAGAACAAGCCTGGGCTGGAGTGGGGACTTCTTCAGGCCGCCGCCGCCTCCTCACTGAGCTGGTGCTTGCCCCCCGCCCCCCCAGTCCCCTGACTGGTCCCAGCCCCTTCCTTCCCCAGCTGCCCCCATCTGCCCTAGATTCTACGCTCGTCCTCCATCCTGTGCCACCCTTCGGCCTTCCGATCCCACTAGGCCTGCAAGACTCCAGCCCACGGCAGGCCCGGGGTCTGCTGCGAAAATGCTGCCCCACGACCACGGCCATGGGCGCCGCACAAGCCCCGCCCGGCCCAGCACACGCCCCTTGCCCTGGCCTCCTGGCAGGCCGCCGCCTCCCCGCTCCTGCCCGGGGAAACCGGGCTGGCTCGATGGCGAACCCTCACAGCCCCCGCTGACGGCACTCCCGCCCCGTTTTGCAGATGCGAATGCGGAAGGTCCGCGAGGTCTGCCAGGGGCCATTGTGACCAGGCATTGCCACAGGAATGGTGAGCCCCCGCGGCAGGGGCAGTGGGGGCCGCACCACAATGAGGAAACCATCAGGTCCCTGCTCAGTACTCAGTCTGCAGAGTGACTAAGACACAGGAGGAAGGAGGGGCGATTTCTAGTTAGCAACTTGGCATCAGAGAACCCTGCTCTCCCTGGTAATTACGGGGATCAGAATATCAAGAACATCCCTACCTGTGGGTCACAGGGTGGGTCCTGGAGCGGACGGCCTGGGGTCAAATCCCAGCTGCTCAGCCCCTCAGTAGGCCCCCGAGGCCACAGGCAAGCTTACCTGACCTCTCGGAGCTGCCTCCCTCGCCTGTCAGAGACAGAATTCCGACCTCCCAGAATCACATGCAGATCACATAGTACGACGCGCGCTTAGCGGGGCGACTGTCACCCAGGAAAAGCACTCGATAAACGTTGGCAAATTTACTTGTACCTCCAGCACCAAAGGTAGTCTGTTACCTGCCACGCAAGCCACAGGACCCTTCCCACTCGCGAAGCAGGATGGGGTGTTGGCTTTACGATCAGACTTGAATTTGAGCATCAGCTCTGCCTCTTCCTAGTTGTACGAGGTTGAACGAGCGCCAATCTGCACCGATCTGTGTCCTCCTAGGTAAAAATGAATACCCACCCTCACAGGGCTTAAAAAGATGACTACTAATATAGTCCCTGGCACACGGCACGTGTAAATGTAACTATAGTTACTGCGGGACTTGGGGAACCCCTGGACACACCCATCCAGGAACACTGCAACAGCAAGGCGGCCTCTTCCAGGGCCTGCTTCCACAAACCAGGCCTGCATGGCCCCGGGGGGCGGGGGCCCCAAAGGGCCACCGGGAATGGGCCCCTGATGGAATGTGGCGGCCAGCCTGCCTCCAGGCTTCTGCGGCCGATTTCTGCCTCACCTCCTGATCTGGCTCTCGCCACAAGGAGGGATTCCTCGGGACTAAAAGGGGACTCCGAGATGATAGCACAGTCGCATGGAAACGCAAGCCAAGGGGCGCCTGGGTGGCTCAGTCGGGGAAGCGTCTGGCTTCGGCTCAGGTCATGATCTCGGGGTCCTGGGATCGAGCCCCGCGTCGGGCCCCCTGCTCCGTAGGGAAGCCTGCTTCTCCCCTCTGCCTCTGCCTCTCCCCCCTGCTTGTGCTCTCTCGCTCTCAAATAAATCAATCTTAAAAAAAAGAAAAAGAAAAAGAAAACGCAAGCCACGTCCCAGAGCAAGCTCACTGCCACCTCAGCGAAGACTCAGGACTTGCAGTCCCCGTCTGGCATAGCGCCCGGCGGCGGCGGCCAGAGGGCGGGACTGTCCCAAGGCTTCGTACCTGCGCGAGATGACGCGGGCGCAGGAAACGGGCTCCCACACAGAACCCACTGGCAGAAGCTAGGGGCCTGTCCCTCAGGGGCAGAGACCCCAAGAAACTGCCCAGAGAGGAAAGAACACGTGAGGCAACCAAGGTGTCCTGTACCCACCCCCCCCACCAGGTTCCAGGGCACCGGCCCAGAGAGAGGAGGGGGGCTCGGCCAGGGTGCACCACCCGGGAGCTGTGGGCGCGTTGCGGGTGGTGCGCGCGCCCCGGGGCATCCTGGGGGGGGCAGCTGCAGCAGCTGGACCCACAACGTGGAAGGCCAAGTGGGGCCGGGCGCCACCGTTCTCCTCGGCACCAGACCCCAAAGACGGGATAAACGGGGACCTCGCCCGACGAAAACAAAACCGAGCAAAACAGAACATGTGTCCCAGGTCTCCGGGTGGGACACTGAACACCTGCAGTAGGTCAGAACACGGGGTCAGCCACGCACGGGAAAGGGGAGGTCCGGAGATGTGCACGGTCACAGCCCCGTCGCGGCCCGAGCGCACACGCAGACTTCTCCTCCGTGCCAGGCACTGAGTGAGGCCCCTAAAAGGGCTGGGGAGAGGTGTGGGGAGTGACTGCTTAAAGGGGGCGGGTGTTTTGAGGGTGATGAAAATGTTCTGGAACCAGATACAGGTGGTGAATATGGATTTCACCACAGTTAAAAGCTTTCTCAAAGATTTTTTTTTTTTTTATTTACTTAGAACACATGAGCAGGGGGGAGGGTCAGAGGGGACACGGGGCTCGATCCCAGGACCCCGGAATCGTGACCTGAGCCGAAGGCAGACGCTTCACTGACGGCGCCGCCCAGGCGGCCCAACAGAAGAAGACTTTACAGTCACGGCCTCAGGGAGAAGCGAAGAGCCACGGCCGGCAAGGCTAACGAGCACCGAGACGGGCACAGAATGCCAAGGCTCGCACCTCGGCGCCCCACGAGTGGAGCTCTGCCACGTCACCGGGAGCTGCAGGCGGGCAGCGGAGGATCTGCTCGCCTTCCACGGAACTTGCCACTTGCCTCCGTTCAAAGCCTGGTTACCTATTAGGGACCCCTTTACAGCACCAGCAGCGAGCAGTACGTGTTTTGTGATGAGAATGAAAAAGAAAACTTGCTTTATCTGCAAAGTTTATTTTACAGAGCACACATACAAATGCGGGTGTAACAGTGTTCCAACATGTGACATTTGTGCAGAAAAATACCAGAAACTCATTTGTCAGGATGACTGTCTCTGCCTTCTATACGAAAGAGCTAGTGTATAAAAACAGTTTTCAACTCTAAGGCACCAAGCTCTAATCCTCAACGGTACAGTCCTCTGAACGGCCAAGAACTAAGGGATCAGAAAGAATTCCTTCCTTTCACTAATCCAAGGCTGGTGGCTAGAAAGGAACACAGGCCTGCCTGAAAGTCGTTGTGATTCACCAGAAAACCCATCAGGGGTAGGGGTTTGTGCACTCAAGTCTTAGTCGATGGTGTGTATAAGCAGAATTTGACGGATTTCAGGAAACCTATCCTGTGTGTGCGCGGACGTGTATGCACGGGCAGACGTGCGTGCACGCCTATCTAGCACGGGGACCAAAGAATGGCACTGCTTCTGTGCTCACTCGCAGCCAGTGGCTAGGGAAAGGCAAGCAGCTCTGGGCCCGCACCCCAAAGCGCAGGCCTGGCGGGCACGAGGACCCAAAGACGACCTGCTGCCAACACCCAGGGGAATGGCATGTGCCCCGCCGGACAGCAGCCAGATACTGCTTTAGGTACAATAAAACCACTGCACAGTTTTGGAAATAAACCCCCAAGGTGCACTTCAACAAAGTAACACTGATGAGCACGGCAGGCGCTAACACTGTCCCGAGGGCACACTTTCTAGGACCTGGAGCATCTCGGGGTGCCAGGGCCTGTGCACTCGGGTGATGGCAGAGTTAAAAACATGCAGACGTAATGGTAACATGTGACGTACTACATTTTGCAACCTCCTGATTATTAGAAACAAGCCAGCAGAGCTCTTGTGAGCAATCCCGAGTCCCTCGCACACCCCATACGGCCTCTACGAGATCGAACGTCTGTTCTGAATTGCTGAAGTAAGGTACCTGTTAAACGGGATAAGCAGTACTTTGAGAGAGAAAATTCCCCCTCGGCTTAGAAACTCAAGAGTGACCACTGCTGGGCGCGCTCACACACCCCGGCCGGAAAACAAGAACGAGACAGTGGAGGTTTTTACAGGAAAACAAAAATGACTCTTTACTCAGAGCCCTTGCTGTTGGCAAGAGTCAAGATGATAACCTGCTTCTGAGCATTAAGGTGACATTAAGGTGTCTGTCTGATGTTTTCCCTGTTTTTGATGGTCATTTTGGTAGTCAGAGGCACAAAATTTAGGGGGTCTGGAAGTTGAGATCCAGAGTAGATGACGAATTCTCTTCTGGGCTGCGCGAAGTTTACAGATCTGACCGGAGGGAAAAAGAAAAAGAACAGTAGAGAAGATGCTGGTCTTACTGCCACTGGGCCCCAGCCTCTCTTTGTGGTGGGCCCGGGACCTTCCGCAACGCCCCCCCTCCCTGACCCAACGTTGCTGACACACTGGTGCCCCCAGGACCCCAACCCCCAAACAGGCCCAAGCTGTCTCTCAATTTCAAAGAAAGCTTCTTAAAAGAAAGAAGAGGAAAGGCCTTTTGGTTTTGGAAAGTCAGGCTGGGAGACTAAGTCCAAAGGGCTGACTAACCCTGTGCCCTAAATGATTATCTGCATGCTAGAAAGCAGTTGGTGGATCAGGGGGGCTGACGAGAACCTACTTTGTGTATCTGGTAGGAAACGCAGGGCATCAAAACTAGAATCAAGTCATTTACTCTCTCAAAACCAACTTAATGGAAGACCCTTTGATACCAAACTAGCCTTCAGACCCACCACCGTCTCCCTACTTGCCTCAAAGTTACAGGGTGCCAAGAAGGCCCTGGAAGAGCCATAAGCAGGAGGGTTCATGGCCAACTGCCTTTCAAGCAACGTAAAAACAGGAGGAGGCCTTACCCGATGGAGCAGGAACAGATTTGCTTTTCTTGTTGTGTAAAGGCAACGGGGGACTCTGGTGGAATGTCATGGAACCTTTCAGATGGTATTTTCGGCTATCAGGAGGGATACTGGACATAAGGGACTCTGCCTCATTTCTGATGTCAATAATTTTGTCACAGATCCACTCCTGTGCCTCTGGATATAAACTCTTGGAGGGTCCCACGGTGTTACAGGTTTCACTTGCCTTTCTGGTTTTTGTTGCTCGGCTCGTCATTCTTTTGCTGGACGATCTGGTAAGAGATGCCTGGGTTAGAATCCTGACTATCCCCAAACCAAGGTTTTGTCCTGAAAGCAGCTTTATCCTTAAACGAAGGATAAGGAACTTCTCCTTCAGAATCCTAGCATGGGAAGGCGGGAAGGGAGCCTGGAGATCACAGACCACACTGGTTTCCAAATTGTGTCCTGCCAAGTTCCAGGGTTCAGCAAACACTAAGCAAGGCCAGGAGCAGCTGAGCACACAGGGCTCCAGAAGCCCCGTCCCCACTTCACGCAGATCCAGGACTCGGGCGGAACCGTGGAGGGAGGACGGACACGGCTCTCCCCGCTCCAGGGCTCGGTCCAGCCCGTCACTGCGCCTCTCGGCCCCTCATGTTCCCGTGGGCCTTGGAGGTTCATATCTTTTTAAGCAACCCCCAGGGAGCCTTCCTAAGAACCTATTCCCACTCTTCCGACCTAACTTCTGACCCTCAGTTTCCCCGTATGTAAAATGACATCCATACTGAAGTCAGGGTTGCAATGAGCATCAGAATAGGCAACATCAAACACCGGGTACGAAGCAGTCACTCAATGCCCACCCCCCCCCCGGCCCCCGCCAGGTTTTATGAGCAAATGCTAACCAGTGGGCACAAAAGCACAGCTTAGAGCCGGATGTATCTGGTTTGAATGTGGGCTCTGCCCTATCACAACGGCATGTTGGGCAAATAAGGCCCGTCATCTCTCCGTGCCTCAGTTTCCTCGTCTGTAAAAGTGAAGATGATAGCCCTTACCTAGTAAGGCTGCTGTGGGGATCAGTTTATTTCTGGGAGTACTTGACACCGTGCTTGGTACAAACTAAGAGCTCAGTCAATAATGTGGTGTAGGACTCCCACCAAGTTTATTCTGATAAACTCGCTGAGTGACTCACCTGGTACCCTTTGCCTGAGCCAAAGGGTCTTTCGCACTTTTTTGTCTGAAGTTTTTCATGTCGCCATTAAAAAATGTTTTTGTCTCTCTATGGACTTGGCCAGAAGTGGCGTCTAAAAACACCAGCTTGGGAGTGTTCTTCTTCATGTTTTTAAAATGTGTTTTGAGTTTTGTGGATGAATCCATGCCATTTATAAAGGCTTGGAAAACAAAAGGAAGAAGATTAAAACTGGAGTTTTGACAACGAAGGCAACAGAAGGCGAAGGCTGTGATGGTGGTGGGCCAGGGCACAGCGGCCGCCTACAGGCAGGGAGGGCCATGCAGCGGGATGGTGGGGTGCAGGGTGCCGCCCAGCGCACGGGCCTGCTCCGGCCTCAAAGCACGAAGGGGCCACCTCTGAGGAACCTGCCCTCCTTCCTCTGCCAGGCAAGAGTGGCAGGCCAGACGGCAGCGGGCAGCGGGCTGCTTACCCCTCCTCCCGACTCTTCTTCTAGCCTCGATTCTAGTTGCTGCCTCCTGCCTGCACCTGGCCCTGCTCCGCCTGCTCTGTTCTCGCCGCATCTGGGCCAACCAGCCGGCAGCCGTGTCACCGTGTGCTCCTCCGTTTCGCCACGGGCTCCCTTGAGGCGAGGTCCCCTCCCCTCTGTGTCCTTGCTGCCCCAGTAGAGGGCCTGACTTGCATGTTCGTTTCCGTTTGTGGGGTAAAGAGTGCCTCGTACTGCTGCACAGAGCAGTTCCCACCCAGGAGGGACTCAGCCAGGCATCTCAGACAGCTGGGACGGTTCTCTCCGGGAGCTGGAAAGCGGCAGTCCGCCTGCGGTCGGTCACGGGTGCCGTACAAGGCCGGGAGCCAGGACGTGCTCGTAAGCCTCGCATCCGGGTGAGAGGTACTACCTACAGCCTAACAGCACAAGCTGTACAAGAATAACGGTCGCCACCGTAGTGGGCTTTCCCGAGAGTTGCCTATGCGTCAGGTACTGTTCTTAGGACGACGTGGATCACCCCATTGCAATCTCGTGCTACCCTAGGAGGACCACATTCGCTTCCCCTTTTTCAGGTAGGGAAACTGAGTACAGAGAGCTTCAGTAAGGTGCCCAAAGCCACACAGCTCAGAAGCAGAGGAGCCCCTAGATGAACCCAGACAGTCCAACTCCTACATGGTGACTAACAGAACTCAAAAGGCAAGCAAACCTGATGGACGCAGGTCATCAAAGGAACCGTCGTCACTTTCCGACTCGTCCTCGTCGTCCGCCTCGTCCTCCTCGTATGTGTTATCAACAAATGGTTCTGCAGCCTAGGATGAGAAAAGAAGTCACGATTACATCTAATATTCCATCAGCCTGACTTGGCTATTTCAAAGAAAACAGGCTTCATGCTGGACTGACTGATGGCTATTTTTCATCATTTCAATTAAGAGGTAAAGAAAATCTAACCTCTTGGGCCCCAAGACTCCAGGGGACAGAACAGGTGGCCCTAGTTGTGTCTTTCAGTTAGGGAAAGACACTCCAAGAATGAAAGACTTCCCCGAGTGGGAGCCATGGTTGGCATGGGGTCTCTGCCTGCTCAGAGTCCGAACTAAGCCAACGTAGGGCCAACTGATGGAACAGCTAAAAAAAAAAAAAAAAAAAAATTCTTGGCTGCCTCTTGAGGGGAAACTTCTCAGGCCAGCAGGCTAAATGAGCTTTCAGGTGGTGACTCGCTGCATTTTCCAGAAATGACATTTGTATTCTAAATTGTCATGATATGAATGACCACACTGGGGAACTGGAAAGAGCTAAAATACCAGTCTGGTAGCACAAAGGGTAAAGGGCATAGAATTTGGAGGGAAGAGGCCTTAGAGGCATGAGATGCCTCAAAAGACAGGATGCTGGGGTAAGCAAATACTTGTGAGATCGACCCCCAAAAAGCACTTACCATAAAGGAAAAAAACTGCTCAATCTGATTTCATGAAAATGAACTTCTGTCCATCAAAAGGCATTATACGAGAGTATGAGGCAAACCACAGCAATACCACTACACATGTACAGGGCCCATAAGCAGAGGGGGGAAAACAACACATCAGTAAAAAGGAGGCCAGCCACCAAACAGAAACATGGACGAAGGACTTGACAAGGCACTTCACCAAAGCAGATCTCCAAATGGCCAAAAAGCAGATGAAAAGGCACTCGAGTTCATCAATCATCAAAAACTACTGATCAACTCGGTAGTGTGCGAATTAGGAACTTCTATGCAACAGCAGACCGCGCGTTAAGACAGGCTGCGAACTGGCGGAAGATAGATGCAGCACAAACAAGCAAGGAAGTAGCAGCATCCAGAACAGCTGAAGAACCACAAGTGAGTGAGAAAAAGACAAGTATCAACCCAAAGGCTTTGGGCACAGACCCGAACAAGCATCTCACACAAGAAAAAACAGGACAGCTACTTAAGGATAGAATGTGCTCCTCCACCTCTTTCATAATCAGGGACATGCGAGCGAGATGCTTGAGTTACCACCAGACTGGCAAAAATGGCAAAGTCGGCAAGAAGGTGAAGCGACAGGATTTCTTACGCACTGCTGGTGGGGACACATAGACTACCTTTGAGGCATTTGAATCTGTCTTTCTTGTCCGCTTCATAATTTCCTCAATTCTCTATTTAAAGGGAAATAAAAATTCAAACATGAATACAGATTTAAAAAAAAACCAGCGGTCCCGAAGAAGTTGATTACTTCCATTTTCCACAAGCAGATGCATCAGAACTGCTCCCAAGCCACGGATTTCACCACCTTGAGACCTCGAGGCGGCTGCCGCGGTCCTCCCAACCCCAGTGTCCGCCATCCAGGAAACATCTGGAGGGGTAGCAGCTAAACCAGCCATCTTAACCCCGAAATCCAATTACCTTTCACTCCTACTAATTTTGTAGACTTAGAAATTCATGACTTAGAAGCACATACTATTGCAAACCAGTTAAGACTTTTTAACGTTTTAGTCTGAACAGACCATGACTGAAGCGGATATTAATGAAAAGAATGCACCCCAATGATGTGACATTGTCAGAAGTCTGTGGCTGCAAAGAGTACACACACGGGAGGGAAAGAATGTTCTCCCTGGTGCACACCTGGCCTCCTCAGGGTGACTTATCTCCCAACAGAGAGGCCTTGCAGCCTGGACTGGGGCCTCCTCTGACCCCAGACAAGCCAAATGAGTTGCAAAGTGAGGTCCCACCTTACAAACGGCCTGCACCTCGGCCTTTGAGAGAAGCCTGCACCTGCTGCTCCCTCCCACTCAGCTGCTGCAATTTCCAGCCCAGTCCAGAAGAAACTAACTTCTACCAACCACTCCCATGACCGGAGTGATTCTGTTCAAAGGAGCTTTGTTCCCAGGGGTTTGTGATATTGAGGTGTCACTGTACTGGTCACCAGTGGTCCGTGATGGACAGGTGAGGTCAATAAGAGAGACCCTTCTACGTAGGAAGGGTGAGATCCTTGGATAAGGAAGAAGAGAGTTGCAGTGGGAAAACTACCAGAGGCTAGCACACCGCTTACTTGTGACTCTGAAGAACACGTTTTAAAATCATGTGCCCAACATTATATTCGAAACGAACCGAACTCCCAAAACAGAAAGAGTACCTTTTTTCTCTCTAATCTCTCCTGCAAATTCTGTAACATAATTCTCTCCTGTTCCTTCTTGCGTTTTTCAGCCTCCTCCTGAGCTTTTATTTTGGCGGCCCCTTTCTAGAAAATTTGCATAAAAATACCACTTACTCTCAATATATGAGTGATAACTGAGAACAACAGCTGAAAAAGTTAAATAAAGGTTATCCAGCATAAAAGAATGTAACCTTCAGATTGACAGTACCTATACGCACGACATTCATAAATTCTCAGTTTTCAAAACATTAGCTAAAAATGCACAAAACCAGCCTAACCATCGTCGAGGATTTAGAAGCCATGTCAGTCCCCTCCAGGACCTCAGGGTCACCATTCCAGCACAGGGGTCATCAGGCCACTACAGTTCCAAAGTCAGTGATTATGTAGCTATCCATTACCACAGCAACAGGGGCCAAAAGTCTTACACCTTTCAAAAGCACTGGGAGGATCCTTAAAGGTAGCTTCCCGAGGAATGCAAATGCACACAACCACTTATGCGACATACAACTGATTTTATTAAGTGATACACTAAAACTGGAATATTAAGTAGGCTGTGTTAGTAATTCAAGCTGAGTGGAGTCTGAGCTCAGTTTGTGGATTTATTTACCAGATGATCTGAATTTGCATGGGTGAGACATTCTTACTGAGGAACTGGAGGACTTTAAACTTTTAAAGGCAATCGTAATTTTTATCGTCTCTGTTCAGGGGGTATGTGGACTGCAGCTGTGAGCGCCACCAAAAAGCGCAGGATTGGGAAAACACACAGGACATTTAATCTGTGCGAGCAATGGGACTTCCTGAAACCAAGCTGCAATGTTTATAAAGACAAAATAAAGAACTACTAATTTATAATTCTCAGCTTTCTGCTTCTGTTTCACTTGGAAAATATTCTAGGATTTTGCCAAGGGTGGCTGGCCATGACCTGCAGCAGCACTGGGTAGCAGCTAGACTATAATGGAAAACTGCAGCCAGAGAAGGCTGCATCTGTTCACCATCTTTCTTGGAGAAACAGATTTTTTGCCTTGGGTTTCAAATGAATTTTAGAATCTGGTTCTCAACCCCTGATAAAGTAGAGAGCCAGCAAACCTGTAGTAGCACTTTCTGGTCTTCTGGATCTGGACATCCTTTCTTTATTTCCTTCTGTTGCTGCCCATCTTCCAGTTTCAAGAATTCTTCTTGTTGGCCTTCCACAGCTTTCCCTGCTACGTCCTTTGTTTTGCTAATGACACAGCACATTTAAACAGCCCTTAGTATTTGTCTCAGTCTCTACCATATACAGCTTGCAGTCGTACGTGCATTTTTTTTAAGTCATCTCTACGTCCAACATGGGGCTCGAATTCCTAACCCCAAGATCAAGAGTCGCATGCTCCACCAACTGAGGCAGCCAGGTGCCCCCGTACATGCATTTTTTTTTAAAGATTTTTATTTATTTGACAGAGCGAGAGAGCGAGATTCACTTACTTATTTTAGAGAGAAAGAGTGCACCGCACACGTGCGCACAGGACTTGGGGGGAGGGACAGAGGGAGAAGGAGAGAGAGAGAATCCCAAGCAGGCTCCACGCTCAGCACGAAGCCCAACGCGAGGCTGAGATCTGACCTGAGCTGAAACCAAGAGTCAGATGCTCAACCAATTGAGCCACCCAGGTGCCCCTGTACATGCATTTTTACAGTGAAACCACTTATATATAGGAACACAACTTATACTTACACCAGACTCACCACATTTGCTATGTTACTGCACAGAATTTACACAATTTCACCTTTTTATTTATTTTTTCAGATTTTATTTATTTAGGGGCGCCCAGGTCATGATCAGGGAGTCCCGGGGTCGAGCCCCACATCGGGCTCCCTGCTCGGCAGGGGGTCTGCTTCTCCCTCTGACCCTCTCCCCTCTCGTGCTAACTCTCCCTCTCCAATAAAATCTTAAAGATTTTAGAGTGCACAAGCACCTGTGCAAGTGGGAGGCAGAGGGAGAAGGAAAGCAGCAGACTCCCCGCTGAGCCTGAAGCAGGGCTCAACTCGGGGCTTGATGCAGGGCCTGATCCAACGACCCCGAGATCATGACCCGAGTTGAAACCAGGAGTCAGACGCTCAACCGACTGAGCCACCCAGGCACCCCAATGTTACCCTTTTTAAATGGGGGAAACTAGCTCTTGGTAGTAGAAAAAGATTTTGATCAATTAGTGGGCTACTCTGCATTTTAAAAGGAGAGGAAAAAATGGCACTCCTTAACTGTTAAACGCATGGGGCCCTCCAAAAGGCCTCATTATACACATGTTCACACCCAATCTCACACATGATAATTTAAAGGAGGATCCAGTGGTGCCCAGAGGGAAGCCCATCCACAATGACCAGTACGCAGGGCTTTTAAAATGTTAAATGAGGGGCGCCTGGGTGGCTCAGCCGTTAAGCGTCTGCCTTCGGCTCAGGTCATGATCCCGGGGTCCTGGAATCAAGCCCCGCATCGGGCTCCCTGCTCGGCGGGAAGCCTGCTTCTCCCTCTCCCACTCCCCCTGCTTGTGTTCCCTCTCTTGCTGTGTCTCTGTCAAATGAATAAATAAAATGTTTAAAATACATAAATAAAATAAAATAAAATGTTAAATGAGCTGTTTACACGAAGCAATGATGTTCTTCAAGTTAACATGTTTTTGCTATTCACAACATCCCTTCTTTCTTCCAAACCCATATAAAGTGTACTGAAAGCATGTGACTGCATTTCAAACACTTAATACTTTCAAACAAACTCAGGACTGTAGTTATTCGGTGCGGGCAGTGGACAGAGGTTTGTATTCCAGGGCCCTAAATCAAGTAAGCTTCAAGACTGAGGGTCCGGAAACCTTGCGATGGAGTTAGAATGAACCCAAGTGTACATGAGGTTTGCTGCCCACGGAAAGCCTTCCGGGAAGGACTGAGGAGATTGAGGTGTCACAAAAGTCACTGGAAAGCACCCCGAGCAAAACATGAATGAGGAAGTACACTTTCAAGGTTTACAAATTCTAAAGTTCCAAAAGACTTCTGAAACAAAGAAAGGGGCTGAGCCCAGTGAATGCCAACAGAAACGGCCTGGCGTGATCACTCGGATGTTCCTGCGGAGATATGGTACCCTGACCCAAGTGCTGGCCTCCTCATGCATCTTTTCGCACGATGCATGGCTACCACAGACGACTACACCCTCTCTCTACAGACCAGCGTCCTCTCTGCTGGAGATGCTTTCCCCATTTGTTTCGAAGGCAACGAGTCATTTCTGATTCACACTGAAGAAAAAGTCAGTTACTCTTCGATTATCTATAGTACATCTAACCTGAAGGTACATTTTGACTTTCAAAATCTGGGCCCCGGCCAAGACTGAGTGTATAGGAAGAGTGGGTTTGTGCTGACCTTTGCCCCCTTTCCTTTTGTATTCTTTCTTCAGTTTCTCTTTGTTCGCGAGCAAGCCGTCGTTTTTCTGCCAAAATTTTTGTTGCCTCCTTGGCATTCATAGTCCCTGGTGTGCTTTTATTACTAGACTCTAGTTGAAATTAACACGGAAAACAGTTAGCTTAGGGAACTTAACACCCTTAAGTCCAATAAAGAGATGCGAGACAACCAACAACGTTAAAAACCCAAACAATATGCACACGGTCTACAATTTACAAATAACTAGCAATCTAGAAGTAGGTGATTACAAAACAGGTTTGGTTCAAAACCCCAACCCCACTCCCAATAACAGAATTAGTAGTTTGTCTCTTTTTAACAACTACTTGCTCCAAAATGAAATAATGTACTCCCACTCTGGCTTAGCCGTTTTGAGAGATACTTGACTAAACTGATCTTATGGGGAAAAGGATTAAAATACACTGAATATAGAGGAAGACAAACTTATGAAGTATAGAAAGTCTATAAGAAGTATATAAAATACATAAAGTCTATATGAAAGTATACAAAGTCTATATGAAGTATACAAATACCTGACTAAACAAAAATATATCCAGCATGCATTTTGAAATTTGTGCACAATTTTTACTAAATAATTACTACTTAGATGAACACTGGTAATAATATATCTGATTGATCATACAGTGGCTAACTACATAACCAAAGAAACTAAGACATTCAGTAAAATAAGGTGACCACATGGAGGCAGACTGTAATTATTTCAGTCCACATGATGACTATTTTAAATAAATCACATATGACAGGGATCTTAAGACATCAGGAATGAATAATTTATAAGAAAAAGATTATTCCTGTGATCAGAAAAATCACTGTGAAAATCCTTCCAAAAGAAAAATTTATTAGTGTATTTAAAATGTTACGGCCTTGGGGCGCCTGGGTGGCTCAGTCGGTTGGGCATCTGCCTTCGGCTCAGGTCATGATCCCGGGGTCCTAGGATTGAGCCCCGCATCGGGCTCCCTGCTCCACGGGGAGTCTGCTTCTCTCTCCCCTTCTCCCTCTGTGTGTGTGTGCTCTTTTTCTAGTTCTCACTCTCTCTCAAATAAATAAAATCTTTAAAAATAAATAAATAAGTAAGTAAAATGTTATGGCCTTTGTATGGAAATGACCATCAGCTCTCAATGGACACCTGCTCAGCCACAAATGGCCAGATGTGCTCTCTCCAAGGATGGACGACACCTTAGGGCCATTCATGGAACCATCCACTATCAGAGCTGGAAGGGACCCCAGGGATCACCTAGAGCAATGAGCTCATCCAACCAGTACTTTTTTGTTTTTTTTAAGGTTTATTTATTTGAGGGGAGGGGGCAGGCGAAAAGAGAGAATCCCAAGCAAACTCCATGCCGAGCGCAGAGCCTGACACGGGGCTCAATCTCACGACCCTGAGATCACGACCAGAGCCCAAACCAAGAGTCAGATGCTTAACTGACTGTGCCACCCAGGTGCCCCCCAACCAGTACTTTTAACATCAGTTCCAAAAATGGATTTCCCAAAACAACAAGGGGGTGGGGGTGAGTAAGAAGCTCTGGCAAGGAAAAGTAAACAGTGTGTCAATGATTGGTTAAATTCTCTTTATCAAAAGAAGGCTCGCTCCCTGAAGTCCTCAGATTGGGGAATAAAACAAAGGTGACCATTCCCAAACTACCTTAAGATTTTCCATGTTGCCAAAATAAACTTCTTAGTAAAGGAGCTTACCTTCACAGACCATCTGCTTTTGGCTCACAGCCTCGGAGCTGTTAGCAGTTTTAGGCACTCCTTCTCTTTTCTTTCCAAGAGTACCTAATGCATTTTGTGCCAACAGGCTACGGTGAACAGGGATTATTTTATAGGAAAGAGGAGACTGTGACTGTTTTGACATGACGGGTGATGGTGATGGGGGGCGATTCTTTTGCATTTGCCTGCTGGGAAAAAGTAACCGTTAATGGGGGAAAACTGATATGGTTTTGTAATAGATATGTGCTAATTAAGTTTATAATGTGCCATTTCATAAAATATCATGTCTTGATATTATGAAATACTATTTTAGGATGGGGTAAATCCATTTTTAAAAGTTTTTTCCTCTTTATATTTACATTGTAATGTATACTACATTATTTCATTTGTGAAACACTGATGTGAAATTTATCCTGGTAAAATACCTATGAGGAACAGGTGCAAATAAGCCACTTACTTCACAGTGACGGGGGAAGGCGGGCGCCGCGCACTCACAGAAGACGGCCATTTATAACACGGTATGTGTGACACCAGGCGCTTCTTGGTAGCAGGCTTTGAGGCCTGTTTGTCCAGCTCCGATTTCTGAGCAGAGCAAGATCATCAGATTAAGAAATGAGCATTTACTTACTGCAGCTCGCTTTTTTTTTTTTAGACAAAAATACCCTGAATATAATACAATTAGAGCTCCTTAAACTCCCCATTTTCTTTTCAAGCATGAGAATTAGGTACAAATATATTCTTCTTGACTAACCATTCAGATTACAAAATTCAAGGTCACATAAATAATTACCGTAAAACATCTTTCACTTCAAAACCTAATTCTATTTCTAAATCCTGATTAAGAGGTTTGCAGTATTTCTCAAAAAAACTTTTCTTCAGTTTAGAAACAGTTCAAATAACAGTAACTCCCTGCTACTAAAAATGAACTAATATTCCAGCTTTGAGGGGAAACTATACAACAAATATCAGAATTTTAAATAAAGTTATCCTATTTTACTAATTTTATTACAGAATGCTATAAATATTAACAAGTTGCTTATGTTGTGAAACCTAACCTATCATGACCTATACAACTAAATATACAGATTTTAATAGAAAATTTGTCAATAAAGGGCACTTGACAAACCTGTGGAGAGTCGCTCACTTTCACCTGGGAAGATGTTTCCGTGCCCACCTTGGGGGATGCCTCAGGGGACGCTCCCACACTCTCTTTGGGGAGTGCTTTCACACTGGCCTCAGGCGATGCTTCCACCGTGGCCTCGGGTGACAGGCCCACACTAGCCTTGGGAGCCGCTTCCACACTGGCTTCCACACTGGCTTCCACACTGGCCTCAGATGACGCTTCCATGCTCACATCAGGGGATGCATCCAGGCTCACCTCAGGAGATGAGTCCAGGCTCACCTTGGGGGACGGGTCCACGCTTGCCTCGGGGGACGACACGTCCACGCTCACTTCAGGTGACATTTCCATTCTCTCGGGGAGTGCTTCCATACCTGCTTCACGTGACGCCTCCGTGTTCCCCTCAGAGGACTCTTCCACACTCACCTTGGGGGCCGCTTCCACGCTCGCCTCGGGGGCCGCTTCCACCCTCGCCCCGGGGGCCGCTTCCACGCTCGCCCCGGGGGCCGCTTCCACGCTCGCCCCGGGGGCCGCTTCCACGCTCGCCCCGGGGGCCGCTTCCACGCTCGTCTCGGGGGCCGCTTCCACACTCACATGGGGGGCCGTGTCCACCTTCTCCTGGGGAGGCCCTGCCACGGCTGCCTTGCGAAGCACTGTGGTATTCTTCAATTCGTCACTGCTACGGCTACGCAAGGGCATGTTTATATACTGGATTAAAGTACTGTGGGTGCCTGTGGGTGAATGAGGACAGAATGAAATTGCATACGCTCAGAAACCGGACAAGACAGAAATGCACAACGTAACAGTATAAGAACAGGAAGAGAAAAAAGAGAGACTATGTTCATTAGTAAGTTGCAGGAATTACCCACAACACATAAGTGTTTAGTGAAAAGGAACCCAGACAAGGGACAGAAGCATCTCGAAGTTGGTTACTTCAGAAGCGCCACCATTAAGAGGTGTTGTGAAAGCAACAATCCACTACAGATGAAAAGAGGATGCTTCTCCAAAGTTGATGTTTGCAATAAGCCAGTTTTCTTTTAATCATACTATGGTTTTGAATGATTTTCATAACACAAGATATTCAATACTTTTAAAAAGTGATCTAGAACAACTTCACCAGGGCCAGAGATCTTACCATTTCAAGTGATTATGTAAGAAACTCCATATATGGCTATTTTAATGTAAAAAAAAAAAAAAAGAGCACTTTCTCCCCCATACTAAAAACTATAATAAGACATTAATCAGAATGGGCTAGATTTTCAAGGTCTCTTCCATCTTTAACAATCTAAATATTTTTTGCCTAATAAATGGATAAAAATGGTAACACTTAGTACCAGCAGAGGAGGAAAGAAAGTGGATAGTACCAATGTTGAGAACCAGGCAGCCCCACACTGCTGGTGGGGTGTGGATCTGTGTATGCTCCTGGTAGGAGGGATTGGGGCAATAAGGCATCAAAAGCCATTAAAAGGACCTATTTTTTGTTCCCACAATTTTACTTCTAGATCTATTCTTAGGAAAAAACCAGACATGAAAACATGTAATAAGGTTACTTACAGCATTATTGATAATATTGAAACAAAACTATAATCCAAATATTCAACAGGAAATTTAGAAAATACTAAGGCAGTCATTCACAGTAATAATATACAATTTCTAAACATAGAAAATGGTATATATATATATATACTTTTAAAAGAATTTATTTGAGAGAGTGCCTGCACACATGGGGGAGGGGCAGAGGGAGAGGGACAAGGAGAATCCCCGCTGAGTGAGGAACCCAATGCAGGGCTGGATCCCAGGACCCAGAGATCATGACCTGAGCCGAAGTCAGATGCTTAACCAACTGAGCCACCCAGGCGCCCCCAGGAAAACGGTATATATTTAGACAAAAGCAGATCAAAAAAACAAAAACAGGTTATAATCCCATTTTGTGAAGAAAACATATAAACAAAATATTGTTACCAGTGAGTTACTGGGATAATAAGTTACATTTAAAATTTTTTCTACACTAAATATTTATTGCTTGTATAATAAAGAAAAGTATTTTTTAGAAAGTATTTGGTGGTAGCTTTTGTAAGACTTGGTAAATTTGTCACCTCCTCTTTAAATCTGAGTGGTAAACTTTTACATGATCTCATCAAATAATCAAAATAGAACAAATTACCAAAGACTGACTACTCATGAATAAACAATTTGACTGACTTAAATTTTTTAGTCCCCCACTTTTGGTGGAAAATGTATTTTATTGACATATCTATACGTACCTAAACAGTCACATTATTTAACACTGACAATCTGTGCTACAAAAAACATATTAAGTATAGGTATAGAAATTTAAGATAAAATATTACATTTTTGATGGAAGTAAGAGATTATTAAACAAGAATGAAAGTTAATACAAGAAATATCTTACAGAAGACTGGGGGAAGACTGGCAGAAAATAATGTGACATACATATAACAGGGCAAAAACAAAGTCAGGAATCTGAACCAAAACAAATAAAGCTGCACTACCAGAAAGTCTATGATAGCACTGTAATTTATTTTACTAATCATATGAATATGAACAGAAGAAAAAATAAAAGAATAAAGGTGGTGGGATAAATTCTGGAAAGAAAAAAGTGGAGGAAAAAAGACAAAGAATGATGGGAATAGGGTGCCTGGGTGGCTCAGTTGGTTGGGCGGCTGCCTTCGGCTCAGCTCATGATCCTGGAGTCCTGGGATCGAACCCCACATTGGGCTCCCTGCTCAGCGGGGAGTCTGCTTCTCCCTCTGACCCTCCCCCGTCTCATGTGCTCTCTCTCTCTCATTCTCTCTCTCAAATAAATAAATAAATAAATAAATAAAAGAATGATGGGAACAGTGCATTTGAGCTCTCCACTACTGAGGACTTCTTACTACCCACAGGCATGTCTAACACTCTATGTGACCTGTAAGTGAGGAAATCCACATAAGCCTGAAGATGGGTTTTATTTTACTAGCTATTAATAAAAAGCTGAAGAGCAGCTCAATGTCATTCTTCCACATTTTAGGGAAAAAAGGAGGGTAGAGTAGGAAACTTTCTCCCTTGATACTATAAAAATTTTTGATACTCTTAACATCCAGTACCTTTTACTGGATGGCACACTGAAGCACAGGTCAAGAAACCCATCGATCTTTAAACATTTAGGGCTGAGGCACATGGGTGGCTCAGTCGGTTAAGCATCCAACTCTTGGTTTCAGCTCAGGTGATTATCTCAGGGTCCTGGGATTGAGTCCCGCGTGGGGCTCCCTGCTCCACGGGGAGCCTGCTTCTCCCTCTCCCTCTGCCACTCCCCCTGCTTGTGCTCTCTCTCAAATAAATAAATAAAATCTTTTAAAAAGTCTTTCAAAAAATCATTTAAAAATTTAACCACCACCACACAACTACCTTATCTCATCCTACCAATTAACTATCACCCAGATAACTAATCTACCATGCCAGAAGGCATAAAATAAATATGCAACATAAAATGTTGGGTAAAATCAGTCATCTGGAAACTACTGATTCAAATTATTTTTATGCCTTACTGCAACAAATCAAATGACATACCTGCTTTTTCAGTGCAAATACTAACACTTTCAGGCTTTCTGCCCTATGCCTGTTACCTGGAGTATCTTTCCCGGGAACTGACAAAGAAACAGCACTTTTGCTCCTGGCTATTGATGCTTTTGTAGGGACAAGCAGGCGAGTGATTAAATCATTCTCCCGAAGACTGGTATACGGGTGTCGAGCTAAATGAGGAGAACAAACAAAAAAGATTCAAGTTGAGGTCTCACAAATAAATGCAAAGCAAGAAAGAGCAATGTGAACTGCTGCAAATGAGAACTTTCCCAGCCTAAAAGTAGAAGCTACGAAAGCAACATATATATAATGGGACTGAACACCGCCACTGGATCAGACTGCCTTGCTAGGGAAGAGAGCACCTGAAGTAAGGGTCAAAGGCCCTGGCATACACAATAACCCCAGTGAAGAAATCTAGGTAACTATATCTAAACGAAGCCCTATCCAATGTATAGTCTCTACGGAGGAATTCACGTATGGAGAAAGAAGTGGTATGTGACAAAACAACTTTGGCGTGGATTTCTACAGATATGCCACTGACAGTCAAAGTGGTCAAGTTCATTACCAAAAGCTCCAAGGGACTGACTGAATTCTTTTGTTAGAAGTGCATCTTGTAAATACCTTGCTCCAAAAGTTTTTATGTTCCTAACGATCCCTGTGACAATGGCATTTGTTATAATAGGATCTGACCTGAATCAACAAACTGGAGAGTATTCTCCAGTGAATGGTTTGGTATAAAACAAAAAGCAACAGTCCTGTTTGGCAGAGAAAAGTTGTGGGGGGGGATGGTGTTAGAAAGAAACTACTTTAAATAAAGAACTACTTCAGGGGCACCTGGGTTGCTCAGTCAGTTAAGCATCTGCCTTCGGCTCAGGTCATGATCTGAGTCCTGGGATTGAGCCCCATGTCGGGCTACCTGATCAGCAGGGCGTCTGCTTCTCCCTCTCCCTCTGCCCCTCCACCCCTGCTCATGCGCGCTCTCTCAAATAAATAAATAAAATCTTAAAAAAAAAAAAAAAACTACTTCAGTAATAAGTATGAAATTTTGTGTATAATAATCAGCAGTGAAAACATGCACAAAGGTTAGATGTGGGTAATGCTATGAAGCAACACAGCAAAGCTTTGAAGTTCAAATTATGGTCAATAACTTAAGACCTTCTAAACACTAACTGATGAAATGTTTGAAGAGAATCAAGTCCTCCAGCACAAATCTTTATCTATACCAACACTCTGTGATCTAGTCCCTCAGCTTCATTACAGACTTCTTGCTCAGATGACAGCAGAATTATAAATTCATTTAAGGACAGACTCTTGGCTTCAGCCAAATAAGTATGGCATCAAAGGACATTTTTTAGCTAAAGAAGGGATATTCTGGCTTCGAATTTTAGGAACGACTTCTCAAGCAACCAAATGTTGACATAGATCCTTTTTTTTGAGAGAGAGAAAGACAGAAAACGCGGGGGGTAAGGAGGTGCAGGGAGAGAAAATCTTAAGCAAGCTCCAAGCTCAGCATGGAGCCCAACTCGGGACTCTCTCCCCCAACCCTGAGATCATGACCTGAGCCGAAATCAGGAGTCGGAACTCAACTGACTGAGCTACACAGGCACCCCAATAGATCGCTTTTAAACCACTATTTAAGACTGGTACTTAGAAATAACTAACCAGTTGGTTTTTCTTCTGCTTGTACAGTTTCTCCAGGTGTCTGCAATTTGTTAGATCTTCTATTCAAGGATGAGCTTCTCTTCTTCTCTATTTTTTCTGGAGATCAAAGGCAAAGGAATATTATTTTTTTTACAAATTATTTAAATATATTACTTCAGGAGTGAGTCACTCCTCTTTTCAAACATTTTTTATCTTCTCTACTCTTGATTGTAAAAATTTAAATTTCAAATCTTATGTAGAGATTCTACATCCCCAAACTTAAAACTAGTTTACTCTTTATCTGGAAAATAAAATTAATTAGGAAAAAAACAGTTAAAAATTAAGAGGACAATGTCTAATACTACCTGACAAAATCAACATTCCCAAATTGGGAATATACAACTTTTAATTTTGGACACAATCCATGATATCTATTACTAAAGTAATGTATACTTCAGTTATAATGGTTATTATTTTAAACAAAAATGATCATTAACTTTTGGCACAGATGGCATTTTAGCAAACTAATGAAAAACACAGTTTGTGTAGACACTTTGCCACTTCACTTGAAATATTCTGGCTCAGGATACTGAGGAGTGTCTACTTAAAGAATAACTTCTCTTTTGGGAACGTATAAATTAAATTGGGGACCTGTACATATTGACAACATAGCATCATTTGAAAACTCCTGAATTGATAATGTAATTAAACAGCATGAACCAGAGGTATAATGAATTCAATCACGTGATTAAATCACACATCCTTTATTTTCATACTGCAAGTAATGACAAGATAGTGTGAACAGTTATTATGAGTCAGCAATGAGCAGAAGAAAAATAGACAATTTGAATCGGCCAAGCTTTAAAACAGGGCTACTTAAAATATTACAGGTTATTAGATTATGAACTTCATTTGAGTGTGAAATGTTCATCTCTCTGGATCAAACAGGTTTCATTTCAATTTGCAGAGATTTTACAAAGGTAAGCCACCACCAATACAGATTTTATTTTCCCTGACATCATTAATTACAACATTCACTGTTTCAGAGTGTTCAATATACTGTACCTGTAAGTTATTTCACAAAGTATCTTCCACACATACCTTCTCGTATTAAAAACTAGTAAAAAAATCATTTAAAAAGTTACTTGGAATTGCTCTTTCAGTGTAACTTAACTAATTATCCTAAAAGTAATCACCTGTTCCTCCTCTTTACAAGTCTCATTAATACAGCATGAGACCTATTAATAAAAGCATACTAGCATTTGCTCATTATATTAAAAACATCATACACATCTGTGGAAGAAATATTTGCTAACTCCTCAAAGCAATTAGATAGTGAAACAGAGTGAATGCTTGTGAAACAAATCATATATATATCAAAATGAATGTATATACATATATAAAATGAAGGTATATAAATACAACATTACAATGAATGCTATCTAATTTTTCTAAAGGATTGAACTGGTGAATAATAAATTAATTTCATTATATGACAAGGAAGGTGCTAGAGAAAACCTTCCCACATTAACCTACAAATGAACCCAGGCTACACATAAGTGCTCTGGGAAAGCCTATCGAGGGTTAGGGTGATAAGTGGATCAACTTTTGTTAGACCATTAAAAGAAAAATGTGATAACCCCAGATGGGGGGCTCCCTGCTCACTGGGGAGTCGGCTTCTCCCTCTCCCTTTGCCCCTCCCCCCACTTGTGCCCTATCACCCTCTCGCTTGCTCTCAAATAAATAAAATCTTTAAAAAAATATTTTTAAATTCAAATCGTAATTACGTCCTTTTGTTTTCAATTCATAAGGCACTAAAGTGGGAATGATGTGGAATACGTTTGCTGTGTCTTCCTCCTGCCAAGATCACTTCTGTTTTTGCCTCTGGAAAGGATTTTTTTTTAATTCATTGATGGGTATGGCTGCCTAATCCATTTCAATTATCAGTGGGAAGCACCATGCACAACAAGCCAGAAATGGTCACTGACAGTCAGGTGAAGGAATTTTTTTTTAAAAAAGGAACACTAATTAAAAGGGCAAACACCGGGGCGCCTGGGTGGCTCAGTTGGTTGGGCGACTGCCTTCGGCTCAGGTCATGATCCTGGAGTCCCGGGATCCCCTGTTCGGCAGGGAGCCTGCTTCTCCCTCTGACCCTCCCCCCTTCTCATGCTCTCTCTATCTCATTGTCTCTCTCAAATAAATAAATAAAATCTTAAAAAAAAAAAAAAGGGGGCAAACACCAGAAGCAAAAGGTTATCTGAGGTAGTCATAGTAGATAATCTCTTTGTCTTTTCAAGAACACCACATTAGCAGGGCGCCTGGGTGGCTCAGTCATTAAGCGCCTGTTCAGGTCATGATCCCAGGGTCCTGGGATCGAGCCCCCCATCAGGCTCCCTGCTCGGCGAGGGGCCTGATTCTCCCTCTCCCACTCCCCCTGCTTGTGTTCCTTCTCTCACTGTGTGTGTCTCTGTCAAATAAATAAAATCTTAAAGAAAAAAAAAACACCACCACCACATTAGCACTACAAAGAGTTGTAAAGTAGAGGTTAGCAACGCTTTGCTCATTAAACATGGGTACCACTTTATTTGCTTTGGAGGAAAGCACAGGCTTATTATTGAAATGTGCCATTTCAACATCATGATCCATCTATCAAATGACCAAAATACAAACCATAAGCATGACAGAGTAAAGAGCACTCAATTTCTTGAGGTCTTAACTCTAAAGCCAGGAAGGTAATTACACTTGCCTGTCACCTCTACAAGGTTGTCATGAATAAACAAGTATGACACATGTGAAGCAGATCAACCTGTCCACTGCTGTATATATGCTAACATTTCCCTTAAATGAGGTGTTATTCGTAAAACTTAATGGAAACTGAATTACCAGTCTAGCTACTCTCTAGGAAAAAGGATTTCATTTACTGGTTAGGTACACTATGAATCACTTTTATAAGAAGTTATTGTGCCAGGTAATGGCAATGTCTTTTGGTCAAAATATGTTTCAGTTTGGGCTACCTGAACTCAACAAACCCCTCTGATGATTCATATGCAAATTATGAAACAAGGATTAATACTGATGAAAATACAAAATAGTAATGATCATCTCTATCTACTATAAAACAAGGTGGTGCTCTTCTGAAATACATCTAAATGTTCCACAATCTAAAGGATAAGTGGTACTGTGAAAAGATATAAAAAGAATTTATTTCATTGGTTTAAAATTCAGAATACATGAAATAACTACTTACTCTTTGCAACAGAATTCTGAAGACCTGCAGATGACACAGACGTTTGTTTGTGTAAACCAGAAGTCTCTTGTTCAAGTTTTTCAGTCGATACAGAACGTGTATTAGCTGAGAAAAGATGTAATATTTACTGTACTCATACTTAAAGCATCCTTAGCTGAAACAAAGTATGTTCATGATGTAATTCTATGGAGTATGTGCATTAATTAGGTGCACAATGTTCACTGTCATTCCTTACAAATAATATAAATTTGAGTTTTAAGAAACTGTAGAATTCTGTCCATTTGTAGGAAAATTTAGAGTACCCTCAATAGTAAATGGGGCAGACTTATTTTTAAAATAGGCACTGGATAAAGCTGTATAAAGCTGAATCATTTTTACAGAGATTACAAATTTAAATGGTAAGATTTTGGATATACTGGATAAAATGATAATAAAATTTCTTCTGCAGTTTTACATGACATAAATTTAAACATAAATTTACTGTGCACACCACACACATGGCAGCATTTTCACTTAAGATACAAAGCTCAAAACCTTGTTGTAAATGCAACCTTGCAGCAATAGCCAATATCTAAATATGAACATGAATGAACTTAAACAGTGGTATTAATTACCAGTTTTGGTTTCTGGGTTCATGGATGTAGAGCCTTCCCATGACCATCTTTTTTGACGATGATCAACACGGTTGCTCCGTTCCGATGTCCGATAGAGAACAGCTTTAAATCTCTCCTATTTAAAATAAATGCCAACAAATTTTTACACATTCATTATATTGGTTAGTATAATTTAGATCTGTGGATTAGAAAACCAACCCATTACCAAATTTTTGTATCAAGCAAAATTGGGGGGGGGGGCATCAGGTAATAGTTAAAAATGAAGACCAAAAAAAAAAAATAATTGAAGATCATATTTCTGGTATCAATCAATGTCAATGCTTCTCTTAAATAACAGGCTTTAACCCTGTGGATATGAATTGAGGAACAGACTGTGCTTCCCTCTACTTATATCATTAGGAAATTAATTAATTCATTCATTCATTAATTTATCTGACAGAGAGAGAGAATGCGCACAAGCAAGGGGAGTGGCAGGCAGAGGGAGGAGAAGCAGGGAGCCCGATGCGAGCCTCAATCCCAGGACCCTGGGATCACGACCAGAGCCAAGCAGATGCTTAACCAACGGAGCCACCCAGGTGCCCCTGTGGTATGTTTTTTAAAATACACCTTAAGGGGCGCCTGGGTGATGCAGTCACTTAAGCGTCCAACTCTTCATCTTGCCTCAGGTCATGATCTCAGGATCACGGGATGGAGCCCCACACTGGGCTCTGCGCTCTACATGGAGTCTGTTTGGGATTCTGTCTCCCTCTCTCTCTGCCCCTCCCCCTGCTCACTCTCTAAATAAATAAAATCTTTAAAAAATAAAATACACCTTAAATTCTTTGTAGAATCAGGCAGGGAAAAAAATCAACTAACACACACATAAGTGAAATCTATGCCAGAATCATCTATAATACCCATGTTTGTAACATCTTAAATTCTAGTGATAATAAAGTTTAAAAGAAAGATAATCGATGTGTCTGTCTTGACCTCAACTTTATTTTTTTTAAGTTTTCTTTATTTAAGTCATCTCTGCACCCAACGTGGGACTCCAACTCAGAAGATCAAGAGTGTCAAGCCGGCTCCTCTGCATGAGCCAGCCAGGTGCCCCTTGACCTCAATTTTAATTGCAAGGGCTCAGGATAATAGCTGTTCAACTGTAAACACACTGTGGCAAAACAACCCCACTTGCCAGAAAGAGGCATGCCTGGTTTTCCTTTCTGATATTTCAAGTCCTTGTGCTGTAACAGACCGTGGACTATACTCAGGTAAGCAATCAACTGCAGGGCCAGGAGGCTTTCTATTCTTCCCTGACAAGGACCGTTTCATAGCAACATCATCCTTACAATGCCCCCACCATTTCTCTGAGGGAAAAGATAAACATACTAGGAAAATGGAGAGTCATCCATATCCTCTGAGGAGAAAAGCAACTGCAATTCTTAAAGTAAAATGTATCTAATGGCAATATTTTACAATTATATTTTTTAACAGAAAATAAGTTGCTCAAATTACTGACAACCCAGAAAGTATAATAAAGACTGAAAACAGTGATTCGTCTTGTGTTATTGAAACATTTCTGATTCGTAAGAACCCTATGCCCCTGCTTCCAAATGCGCTGGCCCTCTGTGCTCTCAGGTTCCTCTAGCATCTGTGGTTCCTACAGGTCTCCTGTCCACACTCCCCCACTCCTCGGCACCACGCCTGCTCTAAGGAATCATTCTCTCTCTATGTGCAGGCTGCTCACAGTGTCCCATGGACCCTTCCTGCTCTGTCGGGGACCACCCTCCCTCCACCACACTAGTTTTGTGAGGCTGATTCTCTTTTGCCCCTTTTCTCCTTGTCCCTCTGCCTCTTTTCTCCCACCACACCTCTGGCTCCCTCCCCCTCTGCAGTGCCGTTTTATCACATTTTCTCTGGGATCTCTCTCAGGTTCCTCTTTCGCTAAGATTGCCTTTTTTTTTCTCGGTCTCTGGGAGTCTCTCTCCTCCAGGGACACTGTGCAGTGTTCTGTTTTACATTCTTTCAGTCTCTTAGTTCAAATCTCTCTATCTCTGGCCTTCATTCTCTTCACCACAGAAGTAAATTAAGGAGCTCTTTCACAGAGGAAGATGGCAAGTGATAGAAATTCTGAACGAGAGTTCATCAAATACTGGAATATGAAAAAACAGTGTAAACCACCATAGAAAAAGGTACAGAAAGAGAGAGAAGGGATAGTGGACCAGGGGTGGGGAAGAAATGGCATGGGAACAGTCCTAGAATAAGGAAGAGCCACAGATGGGGCAGGGGTTGGGGGTGAGGTGTGTTGAGAGCAACTATGTGCACAAGGAGAAAGAGTGAGCCCCGCAGAGAAGAAGCCTCATGGGGACAAATGAAACCAAAAAGAAAGGACAGAAAAAGAAAATTTTAAATTAGAGCAACAGGGGCACCTGGGTGGCTCAGCCAGTTTTAAGTGTCTGACTCTTGGTTTCAGCTTAGGTCATGACCTCATGGATCCTGAGATCCAGCCCTGTATTGGGCTCCACACTTGGCAGAGAATCTGCTTGGAGAGTCTCTCCCTCTGCCCCTCCCCCAACTCGTGCTGCTTGCTCTCTTGCGCACGCTCTAAGTGAATCTTAAAAAAAATAAATAAATAAATAAGAGCAACAGAAGAAAAGAGGGAGAGATAAAAACACACATACTGAGAGAACAGGCAGAAAGCCCAAAGATGGGGGGGAGGGTGGAGAGAGAGAGAGAAAAAAGCTAAGACAAAGAGGAAGGAAAAGTAAGGCGCCTCAGGCTGAAAAAGGTCACAGTCAGCCGGAGTACCAGAAGACAAAGACTTAGGGACCCTTGAGAATCACTGGAATAAAGGAAAAGAGAGAATGCCAGGAAGAAAGAGAATGGTGTCCCAGAGACCATGGCAGATTCATAAGGAGCCAAGGATCCTCAGAATAAAGTAGTGGAATGACCTACAGGAGAAAACTCTGGTGTCAGAGAGCGTCAGAACAAGACAGCCTTTAAATGCCCAAGTACGGACACTAAAAGACAAACTGACTGAAGAGGAACAGAAGGGGAAAGAGAGGGCATCATGAAGGCAGTGACTCATACCAACAGAGTGCCAGACACCAAAAGAGTCCAGGAAGGTAAAGAGAGAGGCAGGGCCCCAGCACAGCGGGGAGGAAGAGCGCGCCGGGCAGAAAGGCAGGGGAAGCCAGATGGGAGGAGAGCAAGCACTGTCATCTGACTGGCCTGCGCTCAAGTCAGAGAAGACCCTGTGAGAAGTAAGATGGGGGCCTATCGAAGGGTCTGTGAACATGAGGGCGCTGGTATAGAGCTCAGAGCAAACCCTGGGCCTCGACACCAGTGGGCCACATCCCGGAGGGTGGAAGGGCTCTCTTCCCGGGCCTGTGAGGCTCCTCTTTACCTCAGCTAGCAGGTCGAAACTCAGGGATCTGAGAGGACAGGGACAAGAGGTTCTACTGCTGAAGGGAAGAAGAGAGAACTGGGGCTGGGTCCTTTGGCTGGGGGGGAGGGGGGGGCGGCAGGAAAAGGCAGTGAAAGGCTAAGAAAAAAGTATTCCAGTGCCAGGCTACACCGTGTGGCATCTGATTAACAGGCTAGGAAACATGTACTGTACCCTTTCTTCCTGTAATTTTTGTTTCCTTTTTTCTTCTGCAGATATTCTCCGCTGCTCATCCTTTTCTTTTTGTTCTTTCAGTTTTCGTTGCTTCTCTTCCATCTGTTTTTCATACTGGATCCTGGACTTTCTTTCTTTTTCAAGCAGTTGTGTTTCCTTATTAGCTGAAATATTCCAAATACATTTTCGAGGTGTAAGAGCCAAGAAAATATTTAAGTTTTCCACAATCCACAAAGTTAATATATCGCCTTCTCTTTCTTAAAAATAACATGACCTATGCTAATAACAAACGATTACATTATATAAGTGAACGAGAATGGCCACTAAAGAAGCATTTGCACTGGGTGTTCATTTAACTCCAGAGAACAGAGATGGCTTAGATGACCCTCATATCCTGTCCAAACGAAAATTCCAAATTAAAAACAAATATTTTCTTTCATGGGATATTTCCGCTGATTTGAGCTGAAGTTAAACCCCACCAGATTAACATGCTAAATACATTAAAATGAGAATTAAAAAGAAAACACATGGCCAGAATGTTCTTTTTCTCCTTCTACTGGGAAACTTCTTTCAAAGGCCTCAGCTATGCAGACCGTATTTAAGCATGCCAGTTTTACATTCACAGAGTTCGACACCACACTTGGAACAGCATGATGTTTTCCTGTGTCAGATTTCCCCTCACTAAAGCCTGGAGAGCATCTATGCAGTTCCAAAATACTCTCCTTAAGAGCTCCAGGAAGAAATAACTCCTCACCAAAACAAAGACAAATGATATCCATTTGAGTAAAGCTGAGCACAAGTTTTGTCAAGGGATTTCAAAGGCCAGAGAAAAATGGGTAGTAGTTGAGAAAAGCATTCTCTTGAGGTGTAAAAAGATTATTCTTTTAGATCCTAATTTACACTTGAGAAGCTTATGTTAGGATTATTAGCAACTTCATTTTCCTTTTGAGAGTCATTTTTATTGAAACCCCATTCTGCTTGTTTCTACAAATGTTGAAATGTTCAGACCTTAGTTTTCAGAAAATTAGAGATAACAGAAACTACTTCAAAAATTAAACTAATCAAATATTTTTCATAGGCCTTCTTTATCTGCCTTAGTATAATCATTGAATCCAATAAAATACATCCTAGAAAAAATGTAATCTATGATATAAAACGGATCAGGAAAAGTAGATAAAATCACTTTGAAAATACGTAACCTTGACAGAAAACTTATTCATTCCGATTTTTTAAAAAAGTCTAAAATATACCTTCTTGCTGTCTGGTCTTCTCTTCTCTACGTTCTTTTGCCAACCTCTGCCTCACAACGCTTTTAAGTACGGATCCATCGATTACTAAAAACAAAAAAGGAAAATATAGTAAGGCATTAATAGATCCGATTTTAATGACATGACACTCTGACATCTATCAAAAAACATTCTAGAAATTACACCTGGTTTAAAAGCTGATCTTATATTTGCAGACTGAGATGGAAGGGGGCAGAAACCACTCTGACTCCGTCTTTCTTCAGCAATGGCGTGCGCAGCAGCAACTAGAATACAGGGAGATAAAGGGAAGGGACTAGATACTATGAATACAAACAGCTAATACAAGGGGAGACAAAGCTCCAGCAATCATCCTTGATGATACAGGATAGCATCTCTCATCTAGAAGACAAAATCATGACAGATTAATCCAGGTCAACAACAAAGCCATATTGAGTTCCTGTGATGTTCAACAATTGAAGAAAAAACTAAAGCTGTTTCTTGTGGATGTGCCAGCCTATCTGTGGACTTAAAGAGAGTTGTTAGTGGGAGTGGCAGCACGAGCTTGTGGATGAGTAGGAGCTAATGATTAATAGCTTTCAAAAATGCCTCAGATAAGACATTACACCAAGTACTAGAAAAACTGAACCGGGACAGAATTGGAAAAACTGTTTTACCATAAACTGAGAATTTAGAAAAGACTTGGTGCTTACGGACCTGAATTTGGAAGCAGAAGTGTCAACAGTGAGATCCTCAGAGATTGGGCCCAATATTAAAAAGTACATTTATAAATTACCTAGATGTGGGGTTTTCTTCACCTACGTTGCTTTAAAGATATTAGTGATGCCTGCCTTTCCCCACCCCCAGTCTCTGGGGTGGAGGCCCAGGCATTTCCAGTTGCTAAAAGCTCTATTCTAATGCAGGGAAAGTGGAGAAGCACTCAAGGAATTTCCATTGAGATAGTATTATTCTAGGTAGAAAAATGTTAGGCAAACAAAGATAAATTTACACATGCCTTGTAAAACAGGCCCAAAAGTGGTAAATAACTTCAATAAAAGTGAAATACAAGATTAGGGGAGCACAATTTGAGGGAGAGTAAGAAAAACAAATGCCAGGATGATACACACACCAATTATTATAGGGGATTCCTGAGCCCTTTAATTCCATTTATGGCTGTATCTAAAATGCCCCACAATGCTGGGCATCTTCAGGAAGATCTGGAGATTAACACTGAAAACTCTCCTCTACCTTTGTGAAAGCACAGGAAATATGCCCCTGTGATACTGCACACAATTCTGTTTTCTATATATCAAGAAAAAATATAACAGTTGAAGATGGGCAGTTAAAATAATTAAAGGAACAGAGTAGCTGTCATTGTCCTTAAAGAATGAAAGGACTCTGAGATGTTCCTTGCCACTGAGGAAAGATATCTGGGAGTCATTTTACAGTCATTTTTACCTTGAAAGTGACGTCATAATTGCTGCCATAGGGACCACTATTTCCAAAGGGAAAAAGGATTTTTTTTTTTTTTTACCCCAGAGACCTAACAGCTCAGATAATCCATGATTTCGCTAAATTTGAAGATTAGACTCTTCTCAGCTTCCTTCAACTACCAGCAATTTTGTGGACCACAGATTATCCTCTGAATTTGCATACTAGTATGTTAGGAACAATTCTTAAATATAGTCTATAAATTAATTAAACCCTCCTACACTCTCTCCCACTTGTGACATCTCTATGTGAGCACAGAAAAAACAACAGTTGGTTTTGCACATTCCGTTTTCCTGCTTAGAAGTCCCAAAGAAAGTTCATATTTTGGCACAAATTACCTGACCATAAGGACAATTTCTCTCGAAAGGTACAATTTTACCATATTTAAAGATCTTATTAAACAGCAGTAACCTCAGAATTAGCTGTGGTAGGAATAATGAACTAAATAAAGGTTAATGTGGTAATAATATCAAGTCTGATTTTTAGAACTTCATAGAACTTCATATCCAAATTCCCACTGGCAAGAAATATACTCACCAAAAGGACAGGCTCTAGAAGTTATTTAAAATGTCCAGGCAATGAGAGAAAGGCTTTATGTCTGAACTTTGAACAGAGTATTTTATTCAACTCCGTTGAATGAAGGAATTCACTTACCATTCATTTTAAAGCTACAGTAAGGTACAGTTTAAATATACTACAGTTATTTCTGTAGTTCCTATACTAATTCTGAATCCCAAATTAAAGTTAAAAGTTACCTTTTGCAGGGCCCCTGGGTGGCTCAGGTCATGATCTCAGGGTCCTGGGATGGAGCCCTGCATCCATTCTCCATCCAGCTCCCTGCTCAGCGGGGAGTCTGCTTCTCCCTCTCCCTCTGCCTCTGTACCCCCCCAGTCATGTTCTTTCTCTCTCTCTCAAATAAATAAAATCTTAAAGAAAAAAGTTACCTTTTGCCTGGAAGTTAAGAAAATGCATAGAGTTTATTACTAAAACGGAAATATGAACCTTAATCTATATTTATGGTACTTTCCTAAAAATTGCTATAACAAATAATGTGTATCACCTCACCATTTACGAAATTCTTCTCATTTGTATGACTTCATTAAATTCTAACAATCCTATATTTTTTATAGATAAGAAAAACTGAAGCTAAACATTACTTTCCCAGATCACACAGGTAGTAACTGGTGAAGCCAGACCTTGATTCAATTGTAGATTAAGAAACAACTGGGGCGCCTGGGTGGCTCAGTTAAGCATCTGCCTTCGGCTCAGGTCATGATCTCGGGGTCCTGGGATCGAGCCCCGCATCAGGCTCCTGCTCAGCAGGAAGCCTGCTTCTCCCTCTCCCACTGCCCCTGCTTGTGTTCCCTCTCTCGCTGTCTCTCTCTGTATTAAAAAAAAAAAAAAAACAAAAAAAAACGAAACAACTTTACTTCTTATCAAGGACCAGACTGTACAAAACCCACATTAACCTTTATACGACTTAGTTCTTTATTCCCACCTCTGCTACTTCTAAAGTTACTTCTGTTTAAAACATCACAAAAAAGGAATCGGGCGCCTGGGTGGCTCAGTTGGTTAGGCGACTGCCTTCGGCTCAGGTCATGATCCTGGAGTCCCAGGATCGAGTCCCGCATCCAGCTCCCTGCTCAGCAGGGAGTCTGCTTCTCCTGCTGACCCTCATGATCTCTCTCTCTCTATCTCATTCTCTCTCTCAAATAAATAAAAATAAAATCTTTAAAAAAAAAAAAACATCACAAAGAAGGAATTAAGATCTAAATGCTGACTCAACAATAAGTAAATGAAATATAGGTGTTTTGGTTTAAAACAGACTTTGAAAATACAGCAATGCAAATATTTTAAAATAAAGCACTATATGCTGTGACTAAGAAAGGCCTAAATTTAGAAAAAAACATGTGAAAGACAATGCAAGTAAACCATTCTCCTTCTAGGAGGGGAAAATTAATTAAAAACTCAATCATCCTGGATATCTAGCCCAATAAAAGCCTCAGAATGAAATGAACCAAAAATAGGCACCATTAAAGATGCCAAAGTTAAAGAATGCTTTACATTTAATAGATTTTTTTAAAAGATGTCATTGAAATTTTGAGGCTTCTTTTGGAGATAAAGTATTTTAGCTCATTACCAACTTCAATATAGTGGAAATTTCTGCTTCTCTCTGCCACAGCCCCCCCCCCCCCAATACACACTGGATCTGTGTCACCAGGGCAAGTTAAACACAACAAAGGAAGAACACTTTTCCGTGACAACCAGTTCAAGTACGGTAATAATCTTCCTAAAGCTGCACAATCACTTCAAAATGCTTAATCCCATGAGATGCCAATGATAAATACTCATCCCAATATTTATTCAGCAATTCTGTTGTCTGCCACAGCTGTTGCTCTTGATATCACTCAGAATTCAACATAACACCTGTAGCCCCACTTCACCATGACCTTTCTTCCCCAAGCTCCTTTCTTCTGTACTCATTAGAAATATTAGATCACATAAACTAGTATTTTTATTAGGTAGCAAAGGGCATAGATTGCAAAAAATGACTGAAAGGTTGTTTTTTTTTTTTTTTTAATAGAATGGCTATGATTGTGGCAGAGAACCACTATACTATGAAACTAATTGTTACAGATTAACAGATTTAGTGCTACTCACTGTTATTTGGAAAACAGAATAAGCAGCTGCGATTGCCACAAACTCCTATCATGGGCTCCTGCTGGATATAGTGCACTGGGGGGGGGGTCTAGCAGTAGACTGTTCCAGCAGCTCAATACCTGACCCCTCTTCCCACAGCTGCTGGCTCTGTCCTAGATCCACTCTCATTCAAAGCTGAGCAGTTGAGAGTGGCATAGTCCCTGGCAGATCGATTCCACCCATACCAAGGATCTCTCCTCATGGCATTAGGACAGTCTTTAGGCAAGGAAGAGGGTGGGAAAATACTTTAAAAAAAAAAAAAGGAAATCAAAGATATCTGCAATTAGGGGCACACAAAAATAAGGCAGATTCATGTAGTTTTGCCTAAAACAGCAACAAAGTCATAGGGCTGAGAGAGATTTCCTAAAGATCCCTAGATCCAATCCAAAGATAGTATGTCTTGGGGCACCTGGCTGGCTCAGTCAGAAGAGCATGAGACTCTTAATCTCTGGGCCCCATAGTGGGTAGAGAGATCACTAAAAAATAAATTTAAGACAAAACAAAAAACTCCTCAAAGACAGCATGTCTTAAAGTAAATTACAGTTTCCTACCATTCAGAGCTATCTACAGTGGAATGGCTACTTGGAAAACTGTTAAGCTATTAGAATACACATTCAAGTTGTAGAAGCTGCCCAGGATTTTATAGCTAGGACTCTGGGTGCTGGACTTGAGAACCTTAAGGTTTCTCCAGCTCTAAAATTCTATAATGATCTGACTCAATCTTAGTAGCTTTTTCTGTATTTGTTTAAAGTATTCTGAGTAACTTACCCTAAACTTAGAAATTACTTGTGAATTTAGAAAAACAAAAAAGGTGACAAGTCAGTGGCAAAGTTTCTTATGCTCATCAGGTTGAAACATTCACATAAATTATCTTAAAACAATCATATATAAAAATATAAAACACACGTTTTGTTAAAAGAAATGTATTTTGGGACACCTGGGTGGCTCAGTCAGTTAAGCGTCTGCCTTCCGCTCAGGTCATGATCTCAGGGTCCTGGGAACGAGCCCCACATCAGGCTCCCTGCTCAGCGGGGAGTCACTTCTCCCACTCCCTCTGCTCAGCACCCACCCCCCTCCCCCGTCATGCTCCCACCCTCCCCCTTTCAAGTAAATAAAAATTTCTAAAAAGTGTATTTCTTCAGTATGCTACAATCTTAGCACAGTGCTATGCACAGAAAACATAATTCAATGAATGTACATAATTCTTGCACCTGAGAAGTTATTTGTTCAGGGACAATGTTTTAACTCTTGGAGCCAGGCTCCCAGCAGGAAATAAAATTGACCAGATTAACAGATTCAGGGCTACTCACAGTTATTTGGATAACAGAATAAAAAGCAACTGTCACAGTGGCATTTCATTTGCCACAAAGTGGCAAAACATTTCAATGACTCCTTGTCCCCTTCAAGAAAATGCTGAGACCATGAGGGCAAATCTAGTTAAAGCTGGTACTCTGTGAAAAGTCTAACATATAACATGTGATGTTTTCAATTCCTAATAGGAAATGGGCAGCAAGGAGTCAATTAGGGTTCTGGGTTAAGCCCTTTTTGCATGACTAAGTTTTTGGCTTGAAATACTGTGAATCCAATCAACTGTCTCATACAAGATTTAAAAATACTTCACAACATTCAATACCCAAAAATGCTTCGGAGGGGGGTTATCCAGAATGTTGGTTACTTTAAATCACTGAAATAAACCAACGGCAGAGAGCCTTAGGTGTCAACAAGCAATAAAACAATCCGAATTTACTGCAAACTCTGATTCTCAAGGTAAAGAGGAAAGTGTATTTGCTTCTGATACGCTGGGAAGTTGATTCGAAGTAATCTGAAGTGACACAAAGCCTCCCCATTCGCAGCCAATTTTCAACTGCAAATGAAAAAATCCCTAAGGATTTCAATAAAATCACTTAAGATCGTCTTATTCTCAAGTTCATAGTAATAGGAAACTAGCCTGAGAACAGCAAGTAATCTCCCCAAAGCGAGAAATACCATTTCCCTCAGCTAGCGGAGCAGTCTCCTGCGCTAAGCAATGCGTTGCCAAATTTTATAAAATTAACGATTTTAGGGGGGAAAACATTTTGGCGTTGGGACCAGTTTAGAAGAAAGCACACTGAAGTGCTGCTTCCCGTTCACTGAAGCCTAGGGTCTGCAAGATGTCCCACGGAAGGTGACATCTTGGCGAAGTCATGTGCTACAGCAGGCAAATCAGGAGCAGCGGAGAGGCAAGTTTCTTCCAACTTTCAAAGCAACAGCCCCCCAGGGCTCCGTCCTCACCCGACACTGACCGGGAGGGTGCGGCAGATTAAGCCCTTGGGAGAGGCAAGGACTGCGACCGTGGGAGAGGATGCGAGCGCGAGCGCCCCGCGCAGACGGAAAACTCCCGGCTCTCGGAGCCTGCAAGGGCTGCCCCGGCGCGCGGGGTCTGGGCGGGCGCCCGCACATCCCGGGCTGTGGCGCGTCCGTTCGGCGGCTGCGCGGGCGTCCACCGCCCCCCAACGGCAGGCGGAGCTCGGGACCGTCCGCGGGGTCCGGGGTCCCAGGCCCTTCCACCCCCCCCGCGCGCCCACAGCGCCCGTTAGTTCCCTCGCGCCCCGCCCGCGGGGTTCCGCCGGTGGCGGCGACCATTGGGCCGTTGGCGGGGACTTCGGCCGTCGGTGCTGCCGGCCGGCCGGTCCCCCCACCCCCGTCCCACAACGGTTCTCTCTCCCGTCCAGGGGAACTCCGGGGCGGGTGAGGAGAGGACCGGACGGCGCGAGGGCACCCCGGAGTAAAGTTTTCTGGCGCCCTCCGCGCCGCCCCAACGGTCCCCGGGGCCGCGAGAAGCCCGCCTCCCGCGCGGGCCCGAGTTCCCCCGGGAGCCGCCAGGCCGCTCACCCATCCGTTCGCGCATCCCCCTCAGGGATGTGCTGCCGCCGGCGCCGGCACGCTCCGCCATCTTCCGAGCAGCCGCGTCTGCAACCGCTGGTGGCGCTGGAGGCCCAGTGCGCAGGCTCCGGCGCGGCCGTCTGGCCGGCTTTGGCCGGGGCGCCGAGGGGCGGGGCGGGGCGGGGCGGGGCCCGCAGAGCCGCCGCGCCCGCCTGGGACCCGCAAAGTCTGCCGTGCTGCTCCCTGCGCACCACGTCCTGACCTGCTGGGCAGGGACCTCCTGGTCTAAAGAAACCCTCTCGTACGTTCCATGCTCTCCTCGCAACCCTGTGCGGGGAGCCAGCCAATCATCAGCCGGCTTGGCCCTCCAACATTCCTTTTTTCCTTTCATCCCGTCTGCATAGCAACGCAGTTAACATTCCTTCCTTTCTTCATTTGTTCCTTCGTTCCTTTAGGGAGCATTATACTGAGTGCCTGCTGGGTGCGCTTGTATCCGGAGTTTGCTAGTCTTTGAGACACTACAGAATGGCCCAAGTTAGGGGGAAGAGGCCCAGAGACAGGCTGGGGGCGGGGAGAGGTTCCTGTGAGGTGCTAGGGGCTCAATCAAGAGTAGAGCCTTTCTTTAAAGTGTTGCGAAATAGGGGCGCCTGGGTGGCTCAGTCGTTGAGTGTCTGCCTTCGGCTCAGGTCATGATCCCAGGGTCCTGGGATCCGGCCCCGCATCGGGCTCCCTGCTCGGCGGGAAGCCTGCTCCTCCCTCTCCCACTCCCCCTGCTTGGGTTCCCTCTCTCACTCCCCCCGCTTGTGTTCCCTCTCTCACTCCCCCTGCTTGTGTTCCCTCTCTCACTCCCCCTGCTTGTGTTCCCTCTCTCACTCCCCCTGCTTGTGTTCCCTCTCTCACTCCCCCTGCTTGTGTTCCCTCTCTCACTGTGTTTCTCTGTCAGATAAAATAATAAAATCTTTTAAAAAAAATAAAGTGTTGCGAAATAAATCATGACACGGTTAGATCTCAAAGTTGCATGAATTATCTCTAGGGTGTTTGTGGGTCTTCACAGTGAAGGAGGGGGCTTACTTTTTTTTTAAGATTTTATTTAAGGAGAGGGCTTACTGACATTAATCTCTCTAGGTTTTGGAGGAGGCCCTTCAAGATTGCAGAATGTTTTTCCCATTCACAAGGAAAAACTTAATTTGCCTGATGCACGTTTGAGGGGCAGACATCACTTCCTGGGTGCTCGCCTGTAAAAGGTCGAGTCACCCCTATTATTAGTGTGGTGTGGCACAGGGAAGCAGTTTATGGTGGGGCTGTAGGTATGGGGCAGGAGGCCACTTGTGGGACATGCACTTTGATGAGCCTTCTGTATCTCAAAATTACATGGGAGCTATAAAATGGAAGAAGCTAATAACAGCAAACATTTATTGACTCTTACTATGTGCCAGGCACTGTTCTAACTGCATTACCTATATTCATTCTTTTAATCCCCCTACTACCTGACAAAGTAGGCACAATTATCACTCCCATCTCATAGATAAGGAAATTAAAGCCGAGAGAAGTTAAATTATTCACAGTCACACAGTTACTATCAGAACTGGAATTTGAACCCAAAATATCTGACCAGTAGTCTCCAGGTGCTTAGCCTCAAGCGATACTGTTTCATGAAAGTTGGATATTCATATATATATATAGTTCATAAATGATTAGCATCCAGAATGCATAAAGATCTAAAAATACATAAGGAAAAGACAACCTCCAAGAAGTGAGCAAAAGGCATAAACAGGTCTCCCGCGGGAGAAAAATCACGAATGACCAATAAACATAAGAAAAAATGCTCAAACTCTTTAGCAGTTGAGAGAATACAAACGAAACCCACAAGATACCATGTTACACCTACAGATTTAGCAAATTTAATGAGTGGACAGTAAGTGTTGGTGAGGTTGTAGATTAATACTGGGGATGGAGGAAAAAAAATACTGGGGGTGGAAGTGGGGGAGTGGGGGGTTCAGTGGGACTCAGGAGGGGGAGTGTAGAGTGGGAGTGAGGTGGGAGTGGGGAGAAGGAAGTTTGGCATTATAAAGTACCCAAAGCCCTGCTCCTATGTGTATGCAGAGACCAATGTTTTGCATGATGTACATGATGGTAGCCATGATTGTTAATATGACACACATGTGATTAAGGCGCCAGCAAAGCAGATCTACATAAATTCAGCTTTGATGAATTTATCTGGAACTTCACAATCTAGAAAAATGCAAAATCACCTTTATGGTTTCTTTCTTTCTTTTTTTTTTTTTAGATTTTATTTATTTACCTGAGAGAGAGAGGGAGAGCGTACAAGCAGGGGGAGCAGCAGAGGGAGAGGGAGAGGCTGGCTCCCCACTGAGCAGGGAGCCCAACTCTGGGCTCGATCCCAGGACCCAGAGATCATGACCTGAGCCAAAGGCAGATGCTTAACTCACTGAGCTACCCAGGCGCCCCACCTTTATGGTTTCTTGCAAAAATGTTCAAAATGTTGAACCCATTGTGAGATGTTGAGCCCATCTAATGAGGAAAATTCAGACAAATCCAGACTGTGGCATATTCTATGAAACAACTGGCCTGGATGCTTCAAAATGTTGATGTCATGAAAGATTAAAAACATCAGAGTGTTCTGGATCAGAGGAGACTAAAGAGACCAAGTGTGAAGCATGGTCCTTGATTAGAAACTAAAGGGCGCCGGGGTGGCTCAGTCAGTTAGGCATTTACCTTCAGCTCAGGTCATGATCCTGGGGTCCTGGGATCGAGCCCTGAGTCGGCTCCCTGCTCTGCCCGGAGCCTGCTTCTCCCTCCGCCTGCTACTCCCCCTGCTTGTGCTCTCTTTCTCTCTCAAATAAATAAAATCTTAAAAAAAAAAAGAAACTAAATTTAAAAAACAGCTTTAAAGAGCATTGATTATTGGGGCTATGGGGAAAATCTGAATATGAACCATGTATTAAATAATACTGTATCAAGGTCAAATTTCTTGGGTGTGAGAATGATACTATGGAAAATGTCCTTTCTCTTAAGAAATCAATGCTGAAGAGTTTAGGGGCAAAGTATTTTAATGTCTGAAACTGTCAAGCAGTTCAGAGGGAAAAAACAGCAAGTATGACAAAATGTTAAAAATCGGTGAATTATCTAGATGTTTGTTTTACTATTCTTTCAACTCTTCTGTGGGTTTGAAATTTTTCAAAATCAGAAGTTGGAGAATTTTTTTTAATCTAGAAAGTGTGGCTTCAGCTGACCTGTAAACACCACCACTTTGAATAAAATAAAATTGATTTGAAAGTACATACGGGGAAGCGCCCTCCATGATCTTTTCAGCATTTAGAGCCTTTAAAGGCCTTAACCCCGGGCGCCTGGGTGGCTCAGTCGTTAAGCATCTGCCTTCGGCTCAGGTCATGGTCCCAGGGTCCTGGGATCGAGCCCCGCATCAAGCCCCGCATCGGGCTCCCTGCTCCACCGGAAGCCTGCTTCTCCCTCTCCCACTCCCCCTGCTTGTGTTCCCCCTCTCACTGTGTCTCTGTCAAATAAATAAATAAAATCTTAAAAAAAAATAAAGGCCTTAATCCCGCCCAGGTGTAAGGGGAGTGGGGAGGAGGGGTAGTAAGAGGTTTACAAAAAAACAAGTATGGGCAGTGTTTGCTGGGAGCTGGGTGAGTAATTAAAATGTGTTCCAAGAGCTCAGAGGGATGAAAAATCACTTCTGGTTGGGGTGTTCAGAGAAGCCTTCATGAAGAATTGGCACTTATTTCTGGACCTGAAGACCAAAAGAGAACAATCACTTCTTCATCCCAGCCCGTGGGAGCTGAGTGAGGAGATGGGCCTATCTGTGGCCAGATCTTCCCATTTTTCCAAAATAAGCTGGAAATCTGGATTTTAATGTGAAATCTCTTATTGTAAAAATGATGACAACGTTAAAAGTTTTGGAAAACACGTCGCAAGGCAAATAAAATGGTCGGATATCTCATCAGTGGTCAACTTTCCTGTCTCCTTTTCTATGTTTGACTAAAAACCCAAACAAGGTCCATACACGGCATCGATATGCCTTTTAAGTCTCTTTTAATCTACAGATAACGTGAAGTTTAGCATTCATTTGTTCATTCCATAGGTGGAGTCACTCAAACTGGTAGGTACCTGAGAGACAGGGATGGAGCCCCGCCCTCCATTGAGTCTATGCTGATTATTAGACGTCAGGGCCCCACCTTAGAAATTTCCTTGGGACTAGGGCAGCTCCCTAAGGAGCCCCCATGACACTGTATATTTCTCAGAAAAATATTGGAACTGAAGGCTGTCAGCTTGGGTAGAGTGAGTCTGTTCTGGAGCCAAGCCAGACTCAGCTGGGAAGGAACCCAGGCGGCTCCTCTCCTCCTGTGTTTGGAAAGCGTATGTTCTCCAGTGAGCAAAAAAGAACTGGAATCCTGCTCACTTTTTCCCCACTTGGTTATTTTTTTCCCTTAAACCTGACACCAGCAGGAAGAACATTCAGAAACCACAGGCACAATAGGTCTAGGATTTATCACTTTTTTTTTTCTATCAAATGGTGACGTTTTTAAAAGTGGAATTCACGTGTTATAAACACTCGGTGGAGTGACCGAGTCTAACAAATTTGCATAGAAACTACCACCACCAAAGCACTGTACTGTGATTTTAAAGCTCCACAGCCATGAGATGGCTCTCCTCTCCATCCCTGAACTACCTGTCAGATTCATCCATAAGGCACACAGTGGAGGCAGGGATCTGGTTTTGAGTTCCTTGGCCTCTCATTTCTGACTCTTACCTCCCATCTGTTACAGCTTGGCCATGACACCGAGGGGATGGTGGGGGGGAGAGTGAGGTTTCATTCTGGACTCATCTCTTGCCAAATCTACTCACATTTTCCTTTCTTTCCTCAAATCGGCACTTTTCTTCCCTCCTAAGTTACAGGCTCTGGTCATTTCTCAAAGCTTTCCCAGCTCTGGAATTCCCACCTCAGCAGCACCCTCCCCCCACCCATGCCATGACCCTTCACAGCCATCCCCCTTTCTCTTTGCCTGGAGAACGAGGGTGGCCTTGCTCTCCATACCCTCTCCTTCTTAGGGAGTCCCTGGCCCTTCCTGGGCTGGTCTGGGGGGCTGATTGATCATCATGGCCTGAGCTCACCAGGGTGGGGGCAGTG